GTTTGATTGTGCCTGTTCATGGATGGAAGTTACCGTCCACACAATCTCTAGCACCGGCTTAAGCAGTTTTTAACATTTAACATGAAATGGTGTTTATTTTGTATTTAGAAACATCCGCAGATGTGTTTATACGGTGGTAATCATCGAACCTTTCATGCGACATTTTCGTGTCAGTCCATAAAAAAGCTTGCGCCCTAAACGAGTAAACAAAGGGCGGAACTAAACAAAATGGAATTCTGAAAGGGGATCAGAGATCAGAGGTTATCAAGCCTGCATATCACCGATAAGACATCAGAAGACAAAGTTTAAAAGCAGGCAACATATCCTTTAAGGTGATTTAGAAATATTCAAGAAGGAACCATCTAACTAGAAAAGGTCAAATAGTTGGACATAAAGAATAGCACAAACACAACAATAAAGTCGTGCTGAACGATCTTAGAGGATAGGAAATATAAATTATGTGATCGGATGTACTTGGGTCTTTTTACGGCCTCCACACGGCACAAACAACTCTGATTTCAAATAAATTTATAAGACCGATATATAATTTTAACGATCTCAAATTTTCAAAATGAAAGTACAAAATGAAGATTTGCTAACTTCTAAACAAACCAGGCTTTTCAAACTTAAATTGACCATGGTTCGTTCCAAAACAAATCATCATGGGATTACAAATTATGAACAACATGTATACAAAATAAGTGACAGCACAATTCATAATTCTTAACCTTTGCAAATTTTGGTCAAAGAGATGGGACATTTTTGGAGACGCTGTCAGTCAAAACAGATACTCCTTTGCTGTTTAAACGATTTTCGGGTACGCATAATTGTACCATAATCACGTGACATTTCTGTACGCAAATTCACGATCGGTCAAGTCATGCCATTTAAAAATGTCATCTGCTCAAGGAATAATTTACGAAGATCCCTAATATTGTTAAAACAGCAAAGCTATATCGATTACATGAAATATCACTATATCACTTATGAATTAACAAAATAGTAATGAAACTAACACATTTTCCTGACCTGAATTGGGATCTCTCCAGTACGTTATACCATGGATGCCCGCAAGAAATTCTTCTCTGTTAGGATCATTTCGTATATTCAGAGTGACCACTTCGCTCGTATTCAAATTCAGGCTCTTTATCTTACCAGTCTTTGCTCCAAATTCGAATCCCTTAGAAAACAATATCATTTGCAAAATATTTTATTCCCTCCGTAAGACCCCTTTAACTATAACTTGAAATATGTAAAACAGCATTTTACTTTTTAAAAGATTAGTCTGTCTATCGAAGTAATTCTTTAGTAAAATTTATTGCGATTCGATTATACTAGAAGGTAATAACAGGAAGTGTAGGGCAATTTAGAGACGTCAAGATTGAACACATGTATCTAAAACAATACTAAAAAATTGTAACTTAATGTAAATAATATTTGTTTTATAAGAACAAGAAAGGAAACGACCAAAAAATATATCTTTTGTTATTAAAAAGAAATTATTATAACTCACGGATGAAATCAGTATTATACCGCCGCCAATGTGTATAACATCTTCAGAACCACCGCCTGTAAAATATTTAAAAAAATATGAATTATAACGTATTGTTTGTCTATTTAATGTATTGTTCTACAGTTAAATTGCATACATAGAAAAACAAAGTCGAAGAATCTTAACATTTAAATTCAATTTTCAAGTTGCTAACATATTAGTTAATTTTTATTTCGAGCTAAATTTCACTTTCCTAAACTACAAAAAAATATTAGAATGAAAGAATATTTAATTTATCATGTCAATACATTACACGTTTGTAGCGTTGATTTTAATTGGACAGTTGTATATATTTCATATATACACAGCTGCTGAAAATTCGTGTATTATTATTTCATTTTAATCAAAGAAGCCTTTTTTGCACAATGATGAATTAGATTTTAGGACTTTTGACAAGGTATAATATATATATATATACTCTTGTATAAATGGAATATTGCCCTTGCCTAGTAGCTCTAGTTATATATGTATTGTGTCATGCTAATAGCTTTTTGAGACTTAAGTTTTAAGGCTTAACACTTATAAAAAGACTGTAGCAAAATTTACTCTTTACAATAAGTTTCTATTAAAAAAACCATACAAACCATGTTCTTGCAAAGTTGATCCAGATATATATACAGAATAACTTTTTTTAGTACCAGTATATTGTAACAGAAATTCAAAAGCTTTTCTGTCACGTATAACAATGTTCTCTAAAGTGGAAAGACACTATGTGACATTAACAGTCTAGGGTTAAATCAAAACTAATATAACTTTACAAAGTGTTCCACTGACCTTCTAATGCATATCGACAAGGACCCGGTTGAACTTTATAAATGACCTTCACATTCCAGTCTAGCCAATCTCTGAAAGGTTTATATAACTCAATAATTATCATAGTATATTACAATAATACAATCATAATACAGTATAAGAAAGCTTAATAAAATAATATTATTGATGAAATAATATTAACATTTATGAATGTATATAAGAATAATTTTGTTCTTGACAATAATTTTGTTCTATCAAATAAAATAATAAAATCAAATTTTAACTTGAATATAAGGAAGTAAATAATTCACCTGTATTCTAAGAAATAATAAAATCCTGTCCCAAGCAATGCAAGCCATAGCGAACTCGCAAACATTTTTCAAACAAATAATATGATATGGTTTGAAATTAAATTAATATTAACTTCACACCGTAAAATAAATCTAACGATACAATCATAAATGAACAAGTCTTGGCATATGTTACAATTTAATCATTACATTAAACTAGAGTTCATGACCAATAACACTGAAAGGTACCATATTGACGACCTAGTTCTGTCAAATGTGAAAGGTGGTTACCGCAATGCTCTTCAGAGCTACTGCAAATATACCACTTAATTTTCTCGAAAACCTGCTTATTCAAAGATAAAAAAAATTGATCAACTGACTTCAGGTTTTGTGATTAAAAAACACATGTATGTAGTAAAATATTTAAAGGAATTATTTAAAAGATTAACATTTTAATATACTCAATTAGGAAATTTCTTTCAAAATATTTTACCCTTGTACCCCACAACACAAGTTGGCTTTAAACGTTGTTCAACTGGTTTATTCAACATGTTTGAAACGTACATTATCAGGATTTTGACGTTTGTATACATAATGTGTATCAATTTCAAGCATGATCACGGATAAACAGTTAAAGTGATAAGAAATGTTATTAAAACACACTCAATGCCGAATGGTTTAAGTCCAAAAGTTAAATTATTTAGATTTGCGTATTTTATTTATAAAATTGTAATCATTGCTTACGTCTGGTTGTCCATTGCTGTTTATGTGTTTTGTCACGTAATGATAACTGATTGAAAGAAATGTATGGATGATATGTTTTTAAACTTTGAAAATCAGCCTTTCCGGTGGTTTTTAAAAGCAGATTATGTTTCAGAAATGAAAAAACAGTTTCCTTCTTCAGCAAAGGCAATACATTTTTCGTTTATCCGTCATCCTCCTGTGTGTTGTTGTAGGTTGCATTCAATGATTGTTGCTCTCCTCTGTTGATCTATCCTTTCATTTATTTTTATAACGTTTATATAATGATTTTAGAGAATTTTAGATGATTATTGTTTGAGGAATGTAGTGCTGAATCTGCAACTGTTCGTCATAAAGGAGCAAAGTGTAAAAAAGTAGCATTTTGACGCCCGTGCAAAATACTGAATCATTTTATCTGTACTAATTGACAAGAAACAACAAAACAAAAGATGGCTTAGGTAATTCGCAAATGGCATTTCTTTGAAAGTGTAATTAGACTACAAAAACGAAAGATTTTGAGAAATATAAATAAAATAATGTTTTACCAATATTGTTTACGAAACAAGTAAACATTTCTGGAAATAAGACATAACTCTTAAAAGCAATGAAACACCAACAAAGATATAGGTTACAGACTGGCTATGATGAACAATGTTCGTGTGTTCAGAAAACGGAAAAAAGCAACATCTTACATGCCCCATAACACAAGCTTAAGCAGTTTTCAGTTCCATACATTTGCAATGTGTGACCCCCCCCCCGCCCCCCAAAAAAAAAGGAAGTAAAGAAATACGACAACGTTTAGCACGTGGCAACAGTTATACAGCTGCGTCTTTGTTGTATAACATGCTGTTGTGAGCACGTTAACTCTACATTGTGATAATTTCAAAGCTAACCATGATATCAGCGGTATTTTTCTAAGAGTAGCGTTTTGAAATACCTCAATGCTGTTGGGAAAAGGCGTAACATGAAACAAACAAAAAAACAAAACCAAACTCTTTAAATAATGTGTAGAGGAGCATTACCTATTTTCTTGATCCGTCAATAAATTAAGCAGCTAAGAAGATCCCCATGATCTAAAAATCAATTTATAAAGATAGCTAGAGGTCAGTCAGGCCATATTATAACAAAATTACCAGGGCAATTCTCAATGCTCAAGCAGATCTCTCGGGTCCTGAACACTTGTCTGCACTTCGCGCTGCCGTCCATAAACAGGGAAGCAATAATTATAAAAGTACACGAATTTGAACGTACTATTATTTAAGTGAATATCCGTTTATTACTCTTGTCGTATTGAATTGTTAGGTCCAACTTGAATTGATTGGACGAAGTAGATGTTGATATATCAATACAGTAAAAATAAGTTACAAAAATATCGATGCTATTACTTTTTGGGGGAGAGGGTGGGGGATTGACAATACGTTATGGAAAATATTTTTCAATTTGGCACATTATATTAAGTTTAAATTGGAGAATGTTACAGATTTGGTTTTGCATCAGTCCAGCATTTAACAGAAACGTACTTATTTTGTGGAATATATCGGTATGCTTGATGCTTGATCTAGTTTATATATAAAATTACAAGAAGCAATAGAAAATATTTTACAGTGTGAAAAGAGGCTTTAAATGATATAGATTCTCAGCCCTCTAATCCTTATCAAAAGAAAGTAATATCTTATTCATCTATCTTTAGTTTTTACGGGGATTTAGACGTAAATATGCGGAGCAGCGTTTTTGCAATTGTATTTTTAGGCACATTGGCTATGTACATAATACAATACAGGTATGTTTTTTCATTGATTCTTATTTTTGTTTTGTAAAATAATTCAATTTTTAATATAATTTCAAAGGAATATACAATCTATAATGTTTCCGCATTTTCTTTTTTAATGTTTTGCTTTTTAATTCGGAAAATAGTGTTCCTTACGTAGTAAGGTTTTTCTTTACCCCGGTAAAAATTACAGTTTCTTCTAAAAACTGAAAATTATCAGTACTGGTGTCATATAAAGAAACGTGATTGTGGGCCGAGTAGGACTTAAACCCATGGCCCCTGGATTGAGATAAAGACACCTTAACCACTAAACTACAGCTGCTGCTGAATATTATATGTAGTTATACATTAAACACATTGAACGTTATTCTTTTTTTTGTAAGGGACTGGATTGACTGGAACAAGAAGTTTATTTACAAAGTCGCACCAGGTCCATGTAAACAGGTTCTATCAGGTTAGAAGATTGAAATGTATGAATAAAATAAAAAAATAAATCATTCGTGTGCCTTGTCTTTAATAAAACAGTTCATTGTATATCTATTAGATACAATAAGAAAGCAAAAGGAATCAGCCATATTGTAAAAGTTTTTTTTCGTTGATGGCAGTCTTACTGACACAAACATTCGAGTAATAGTCAGTTCAATATTGTCTAGTAATAGTAACTTTAGTATACTTAGTCAAGTTATAGTCAATAAATTGTTACGACCAAATAAGATCAACCTTTATAATAACATGACGATATGATACTTTAACGTTTTTAGAATTTTACAAATACAATTCATAAAACTCCCACCTTTCTTTTATATTTCAGAAGGAGGCTCGGAAGATGTCACATATATTGGCAATGATGTAGTTATTATGTCATCAGTAAGTCAAATTTAGTATTATAAAATGCAATAAACACTTTTATAGAGGTGTTGATAACCTTATTCAAATTTGGATATAACATTTTTTCAGTTATACTCATAATCAATTTTCAAATATCAATTTATTTCATGCGCATTCATACTGAGGTTATATGTGTAATATAGTCCATTGCAAAACTTTAAAACATCAATACATTTTATGACAAAGGGTTTGGGAGCAGGAGAGGGAGAAGGGGTTATTAAAGCTCTGGATCTTAACACAAGTCAAGTTGTTACCATGGAAATTCGAGGAGCACCTGACAGGAAAGATTTTATGACAAAGCCCAACGGAATCTCTATCTGGAAAAATGATAATGGTATGTGCATAAAGTCGATGGTTTTTGTTGTTTTTTGTTTTTGTTTTTTGTTTGTTTGTTGTTGTTTTTTTGCTTTGCTTTTTTGTTGATTTTTGTTATTGCTGTTGTGTGTGAGTGTTTGCGTGCATGCGTATGTTCGTGCGTGTTTTCTTTCCCTAACTTCCATTCACCTTTTGAGAATATTTAATATTTTACTTAAATCTGTGTATCTGCCTGCATGATATTATTTTTATCTATTCAAATCAACAGCTTTCCTAATCTCATTCATATTTTCATATTTAGTAAATCTGCCATGTAGAGCTACTTTCTCCTGTTTCAGATTTGTTTAAATATTCGTTTTGATAAAAGTGACTACATAAATATATAATGCCATCACATTCGTTGATTTAAGTTAAAAGAAATCATATGAACAGAAAGAACAAAAAAATAGATCGAGCTTACTTCCGTAAAATACGGAATTCTACAGTAATTGCTTGACGTGCAAATGAATGCATTTGTAAACAAGTATGAGTTAAAAGTATGGACTTCTAAACTACTCGTAAGGGATTGCTTAAACGTACTTAAACACATTGACCCTGAAGGCAATGAAAATGGTTTATATTATTTGGTTTTCATTTCAGGGAAGATATTTGTATACGTTGTAACACACCCGGTATCAGAAGATAGGGTAGAAGTTTTCAAACTGAAAAAGAATAACGTTTTGAAATATAAACGGACAATCACCGATCCACTATTTGGCAAGTATGTATCATGTATTTCTGAGATTTCTAAGACCTACTTTACGAAATATCTGAGAATAAATATTATTGACATTTATACAAATTATTTAGATACTATTTATGCTCTTGAATAGCCAGTCTGTTTTATATCATCAAAATGTTCATTCAACATATTTCAAATGTTAGTTCCCTCTTAAAACAAATAAAGGATATAGACCTAACATGAATTCATGTGATGACAAATGCAAATATGAGTAAGATGTATGGACTTAGGAACTACTCGTAAGTCATAACCCCAAACCCGTTTAGCAATGATGCAGCATCCACTCATCCACAAATCACAAACAGCCACAACTTTCTGATTGCTGAAAATTTCCAGGTCTTTGACGACAACATTATGACAAAAAAATAAGAATTTTAACTTTTTCAGCATGAATGACTTGGTAGCAGTAGGGCGTGACCAGTTCTACATTACTAAGTGTCTCCATTATCGTGACAAGCCTCGGAGTACATTTGAATACATGTCACAAAGTGCATGGGGATCTGTACTTTATTTTGATGGCACAAAAGCAAGACCTGTTGTACCATCTGGTCTTTTTATGCCAAATGGAATTAACATTTCACCTGACAAAAAGTAAGTTTTTAAATAAAACTTGAGATTTATATGTCAATTCTACTAATACGTGATCGTGGATTTTTTTTGGAATTGACATTTATAATAACAGCTTTCTTAGACGTTTACTAACAATTCACATAGAATTGTCCATTAATCAAATAAGTAAATAGTAATGACATTTTCGTGAACAAAGGCTTCACACCTTCATCAAAACAAACATTCCTAATTGAGTTTAGGTTACAATTCATATACCTTTGTACTAAGCTCATGTTTGAAATGTATTTTTTTGTTTTCGACCTTTGTAATGAACATTCTATATATTGGTTCGTATAGCATTATTGTAACATGAAAATATACAATTATGGTTCGTATATGTAATTATTATTGTACTGCACATAGATGTCTTTGTCTCTCACCAAGTAATTGACCTAGTTGGGTATACAGTATGGGTATGAATCTCTCTGCAGAATGATCTATGTATCAGAGTTTGGAAACAAGAAATTACTCGGCTATCACAGATCGGAAGATAACCTTCTGACGAAAGCTTGGGTAATAAATTTAAACTATTAGATGCCTGCTGCAGAACCTCCTTCCTGAAAAGAAGTCGTTTTCAATGAGGATACCGAGTTTATTTATGGGTTGGTGGTTCAAGCCCAACAAGGGGCCAATTTCTTAAAAAAATATGTTTCGTATTCTTATTTTTGTCTGGTCAGATTATGGTTACCTTTGAAATATTTTAAATTAAGATATATTGGGCAAATTTATACATGTATGTACTTTTTAGTGTTTCATGCATTGAATAAAAATAAGGTAGTTAAATAAACTTGTAAGCCTTATATTTACAGATCTGGATGGTAAATCTCTCTTATGTTGGCGAAAATCTTATCTAGATAAATAGTATATGAAGATATAAAGTTGCCCCATTGATGCATGACAAATATTACCTGTCTTCTGAACCCACTGTTTTTTTCTCTTTTTTAATCAAATCTGACACCTGTTTCAATGAAACACCTTTTTTGTTCCTTTTCATTTAAGAAATATGGGTTTTTAATACCACTTCTAAAGATAGATAAAGATGAAATAACTGATGATGAAAACATATTGTTTTGTTGATGTTGTTGTTTTGAACTTTGCCACATTTATATAACTCTAATGTTTATTTCTGTTTACAGTCGTATGATGTATATACAATGGTTGACAACATTGAGGTAGACCAAGATACAGGTGATTTATGGGTAGGATGCCATCCAATAGCGTTTAGAGCTTTGGACTGGATGCTAAATGCATTTGGACTGACCCTGCCGTCTCAGGTATTTATTTGTCGGCATAATAGCCTTTATGTCGATCTTAACGTGCAAGCTGCTTTTCTGTCAAAAACATGTCCTGTGGAACATTTCAATATATAAAAAACTCCTAAGGTTTTTTGACATGCAATACTTTTTAAAAGTAAATGTTCCATTTGATGTAGGTTTTGACAAATAACTTGTGTGCAAAATTTCAGATCGTTCGCTACTCCGTTATCAAGAATAATACTTCTTATCAAAAAATGATTTAAAATCGAATAACGCTGCAACGCTTTTCACTCAAATTCGGATAAAAACAGCACAAAAATACAAATTTGAACTTATTACTGAGTTTATGTTTTAATCATCTTTTGCATTTCCTTTTGTTTTAAGTACCCCTACTGGTCTTTGTACGAAAATAAAATTTTATGTTTATAAGGTTTTTTTTTTACTCATTTATACTGATTCCAACTTAATATGTCCAAAAACAATACTACTTTGTTATTATTTTACTACCTTTGTCAAAGTCATTTTACATAATAAAATTTTAAACCGATTTAATTTGAATTTTAAAGTAATATATGCTATGCAAGATTCAATTACTGTAATATAAAAATTCTGCATTTTTTTAGTTTTTGTGTTTTGCTTCATTTAGGCTTTTCTAATTTTCTGATATTTATGTCAGGTATTGCGTTTAAAGATGGAAGACAATATGGTGTCCTCAATTGAAGAAATTTATGCGGATGACGGGTCAGAATTATATGGTTCAACAGCAGCGACATATATAAAAGGCAAACTAGTAATTGGAACTGTCACGGCTGAGACTGTCCTGTGCGAGGTCAACTATCTGTCACCATCGCATTCATCAAATAACCAGACATTGATAAATTGATCTAAATGAGACCAATGAAATATGAGGATTTCCTTATAGTTTTAGTGATGAACTACGAATGTTCAAACATGAATACATTTTAACAAATAAAACTGATTCATTGATGAATTGCCTTGATAATTTTATTTGGCCCCTTTGTAAGGGTCACCTCAAATAAATATTTCGAAGTTCCAGTTGTCTGATCCAATCATTGATAACATTTTCATAGAGATGGTTGCGATGAACAAATATTTTATCTGAAATGTATTTTTGAAGGAAGTTATTCGGGACAAGGCCAGGTTAATACGGATGGTTGGAGAGCAAGTCAACACTTTCCTGCTTCAGAACAATTTACTAAAAAAATCCGCAAAAGTCTGGTAACGTGAGTAGCTAGTACATATTTAAAGAGAAAATTTAAACACTGAAGCTGAAATGAAAAATAAAAAGGGTGATTTTGTGCTGAAACAAAACGTAAACTCAAAACAAACATTATTTTTTGCCTGTTTAAATGAAATAAGAATATATAATCTTATATTATATGTAAATGAATTAATCTTATATCCTACACTTCTGCAGTTGCACTGTTTACTATTAAACCTTTTATTTATCAAAATTGTTTTCACACTAAACAATATTACCTTCAAATTATAATAATATTTTTAGAATGTTTATAATTAATTCTCTATTATTACTCATGTAGAATATTTTCAAGTGGTAAAAGCTCCAACAAAACCGCATTAATCGTTTAGTTATTGCTTCAATATTAAATTTGGATTTTTGTTCAGCCTATTTTTTGAGTTTCAATTTTTTATGAGACACTTTCTTTCGAAAAATACTATTTTAATATATTATGCCATTAATTACTTTCGTCTTAATTTTTTTTGTTTCATAACCTGAATTTTTTTACTTAAACATTGATCTAAACTTATGGACAAAAACAAAAGAAATCGTGAAAGCATTGTTATGAACTGAGGCACTAAAGATTTATTATAAAATATGATTTTTACAATTCGTTTCGTGTATCAGCAATTTCAATAATCACTAAAGTGAAATCTTCTACATCTTCTGAGTACTTCTGAGTTCGATGTACTGCATGAATGCTGAACACGGTATGTCGTATAAGTTTATCATATTCATTCTGAGAGATAATTCACGTCACACACCATCAGCTGGTCTCTCACCGTTCCAATAACAAGTTTTCCGTTCACATAAGTGGCCCCTGTAGATGCTACCAGTTCAGAACCATCATCCGCGTATATCTCTTCTATTTCGGAGACCATGTTGTCACGCATCTTAAATCGGAGTACCTGGATGCAAAGATTTTTTGAAAAGCACTGAATAGAAGGAGATTTTGAACTTTAATCTTAAAAAAACTTTCAGATTCGTGTTAATATCTATGAAAGAACTGATAACATTGATATCAACTTAGCAAATAACTTAAGTCCTTCTCATGCGACCTATACGGTAAATATAGATGCATTTAACTAACTTATTTGTTGTTTTTTCATTTGCAGTGAAAATGAATTTCTGTTCCAAATTATACGGATTCTAATCCAATTTCTATGTCATGTGATTTAGTTTATTACAATAAATGATTCAATCAAATTTTAACTTTTATAAAATATGTTAAACAATTCGTAATGATTAAACGAAAGCATATTTTTGTTGAATAGTATTACTAGTAATTACAAATGCCGTATTTCACACATAACAGTAAAATGTCACAAGTTTATTATTGTCTGACGAAAGTAAATGTACCTGGGATGGGTAAAGGGTAAACCCAAAAATATTAAGAATAGTGTCCGTTATCTTATAAGCGATCGGGTGACACGCTACATAGAGATCTCCAGATGCAGGGTCAACTTCAATATTGTCCACCATAGTGTCTGCATACACTTCCTTATAATGGAATTAAAATAGTAATTAAATATATCACTTAAAATACATCTTACTGATTTGATCAGTAACTACGGATATACCATATTCTTACATTTGCCATTAAAATGACAATAAATTTTAATTAATATTTTCTGCAAAAAAAGCAGGAAAGATTTTCCATTCGATAACAATACAAAATATTTCAATCTTTAACCAAAATAATCCTTTACATTATTAAATACCATCGTTAAACTTTGCACGTTTTGCCGCTAGCTTCTCAAACAGTTTGAAGAAGTATTATTCATTGTAAAAAAATACAAAATACAATTTGTAAATGCAACTTGTATACATGTAATTATATTCAGACTGTTTCAAAAATGACTGAATTAAATCATTACCCAAGATTTTTGAAGATTGTTTGTGTTGTCCCTGCTGTAACCTAGGAGTTTCTTCGCGTTAAACTCTGCTACATAGACGGTTCTGATAATAAGAAAGGACAAAAATAATTATAACTATTTGCTATCGATGAGTCGTTGCTGTCATGATAAAAATAAGACTCTTATGGCACATTAACCCTAAAATAACAACATTTCATTGTCTCAAAACTGTATCTTTTTGGTGTCATTTTACAGCTTTCAAAACGTTAGTCACTGATCATGTAGATGGACCGTCATTTTGGTTCTCTTGCATCTGGAATTCAATACTTTTTTATAAGGATTAAGTATTTAATATAGAAATCTTTACGCTACTTTGTAATAACATTTGGCTATTTTTAACACATATTATTTCAAACCTGATGCTTTCTCGAGCGAAAAAAACTGCTGTAAATTCGTTTTAAAAAAATATAGAACACACATAGAACGTTTCTGAAGGATAATGTGCCTTTAAGATGTAGGCTATGGCATCTACAAGTATAGGACACAATGTCAAAGAAATAATTAAAAAAAAAACAAGAAATTTCAAGAATTATAGACGACAAAAAAGTTACACTCCTTATATTTTATATCTACCAAGAACACAATTAGCTTAGATATTCATATCATGTCTTACTTTCCATCAGGTGATATATTGATGCCATTCGGCATTTCTAGATCACCGACCACCTGGCGAGCTTTCTTCCCATCATAATACAATACTCCACCTGTCTTCATTCGAAGCATCACCTCTGCATACTGCATGTATTTATCCCGACTCTGCCAAAACTTGGTGATATAAAACTTGTCCTTTCCAACTGCAATAAGGTTGTTCATACTGAAATGAATATTTCTTTTACTGCAATAGTTGATAAAAAATATACCATTGTCTGACATTACAGATAACAACGCAAACGGAATAAAATGTTTAATTTTAACTGTATATATATATTATACCTCTATCTTACTGACTGTTGGGTACACTAATCTATAGAGGATATTTTTTTGTTTTGCATGTAAGATTGAAATATAATTTCACTGAGTGAACACCAGATGCAATATTTTCACGAGTGGCGTAGCCACGAGTGAAAAAATAATAGCTGGTGTTCACGAATGAAATATATTTCAATCTTATATGTAAAACAAACAAATTTCTTTTTATTTCATGCTTTTTAAGTGATTTTAAGTATTTTTACTGATTTTGCCGCGTAACGTCGTGCATTCTCCTTTGTGACGTCATCACATCATGACATGACACCTCATCAATTTTGAAATATATAGTTCTGTTAAATTTCTCTAATTTTGTTACATTTTTAACATGATGTATGGTTACATCGACTTTCGTTTCCTAAAGAAGCAAAATTTACATATGGCGGCATTTATTTCTGCCTGTTATTCCATTTAGTTTGATTTTCTTTTCATCAGCAATCAGATATAGTCCGGCTACAGTGAAAATTATATTTTATAAATTTTGGAAAGCATGAAATAAAAAATCTTTTTATAAAGAAAATATTTGGAATTCGAACAACCTTGATATAATTCGTAATTATAATACTATTAAACAATAGTTCGTTGTGATTGGCAATATAATTTGAAAAGTGATTGAAACCATTTTGTGGTAACAATTAGTGATAATGAGATTATTTAATATTTATCCACGGGAAGACCTAATTTGTTTTTCGTATACACTTTTCGTTTAGGTAATCATGTTAGGGACACTTTGGAGGACAGGATGAAAAAAATAAAAAATAAAATGTATATAAATGAAAGTAAAATTATCTCAAAAACCATCTGTTTATAATTATTATATAATGCAATTATGAACCATTGTTTTCTTCTAACGTTCTTTTTAGATTATCTCATCAGTTTAAAAAGTTATACTATAAATGTAATGAAAAAGAAAAAAAAATTGTATTTGAAATAAAAACAAATGGGCTTACTACGTAAATAAGGGGTCTGTGATTGTCCGAATATATGTAAGTTCCGTCGGGCTTGACATCTCAAATACTTCTATTCTGTCTTCTTTTGAGGGGTGTGTCAGCGCATACAAAAACAACTTTCCTGGACAAATTTGAAATTTGTAATTTAGCACCTTCATGACAGCAAGCAGCGTATAAATGGTAAAGTATGTAGGTGAAAAGAATCTGCATGAATGTATAAAACTGCCTAACTGGTAAATCGGTCGACCATTCAACATATAAGATACATTATGTGACATTTCATTCATCTCAGTGTTTCTTATACGTTTCGGTCCTTGGGGATCATTGGTCCCTATACTTTTAGTGTTGGAGGTCAAATACTGCTTAATCCGGTGATGGCGTGTGAGTCTGGGTGTCACCGTCCATTATCTACCATGAACGAGTCGATCAAATCACCTCTCCCCAGTTAAGAATCTTTATGAAGACTAATGAAGACTTCGAGAAGAGTTATCGGCTAATGAACAAAACAAGTGTAGTTGATAAAACAATCTGTGTATGATATCGATTATCGCTTTTAAAGTCTTTTGGTAAATAAATTCATAAATATACCTGACTTTGGATTTCTCCAGTACGTAATGCCATGGATTCCTGCTAGGAATTCTTCTCTTTTCGGTTCCTTCCGTATTTGCATAGTTATCACTTCGCTTGTATTCAAATTCAGACTTTTTATTTTCCCACTTGTTGCCCCAAATTCAAATCCCTGCGGAAACAATGAAAGAAAGCATATACTTTAAATGTCCATCAGACTCTAAAATGATATAACTTTTATTCCCCTAAAACTTTTTATTATGGAGTTTAATACAGTCATAGTGCTTTAGTCATTCTTATGGAAGAACAATTACAATATTGTTCACATTTGGCTTCTTTCATGACAAATTGTGTGCAATTCATTGCTACTTTCTTTAGGTGATAATCGTCCTTATAATACTGCAGGTTTGTAACGTCGCTAACCATTGGCTTATCGTGACGTTTATACAGTTTAAATACATATCTGCTGTGAATTTTTGAAGAAATCTCACTTTTGTCTCTAAAAAGGGAAGTTTGCTTCATTATAAATTCGTTATGAATATTCCTGGCAGCTTTTATGGCTATATTTAAACGGTTGTTTGCAATAAACCCATCGCCTGGCGGCATGGGCTTTATCCCAAACAACCGTTTATTTAAGCCATATTACCTGTTTTATAACTAATAATATATACTCTAGATCAAGTCTTAAATAGTATTAAACCCATGTATGTCCTTTGTAAAGAAGAAAACATGTATGCGTTTCTGAGGGTAAATGCGCTTTTATTACAATTATATATTACAGAACAAAAGGTTGTGCAAGTAAATGGCATTAAGTATATCCAGATATTTTTATTGTCCATGAAACCTTTGAATCAATGAATCTTAATTTAAAAAAAATCATAATTCAAAGTCAATCCTCGGTATCGTCTCCCTCTACCGGTTGTGACGTAATTGGGGGATTAATCTACACAGACAACTATGGATGTTAACTAATCGAAAGTTAAATGTGTAAACACTGAGACATAAAAGTTACGCTTTTCACAGCAAGGTTTAAAATATAAACATATTGCTTTCTTGGAAGAAAAAGACAAAATCTTACGGAAGAAATAAGTATTATGCTGTCACCGATGTGTATAACATCTTCAGATCCACCATCTGTTTGAATGTAAAATATAGATGTTTATTTAATAAATGTTATAAAGGTAATAAAAGAAAATACTATGAATATTCTCTTAAAATAACATATTTAAATAACATAGTGATTATTTGACTTCTTAACAAATTGTCAGTTGTTGTTTTGGTTTTGTTTTATTTTCATTTTTATTTTGTGTGTATTGTTGATTCTTTGATTTCTAAACGAATAGTAACCTATATTGTTGTTTGTTCGTTTGTTTGTTTTTTTTTTGTTGTTGTTTTTTTTTTTTGTTGTTTTGTGTTGTTTTGTTTTGTTTCTTTGTTTGTTGTTTGTTATTGTTCTCACAAATCTGCATTAAAACAATAAAACTTAAGGAAAGTGTACAAAGAAAGGAACATTCAAGATATAAAAACAGGAAATAATTGAATACACTAAAACAGCACTTCCAGTTTGCTTTATGCGTATGAAAAATACTCATTAGTTCATTCAAACAATGTCTTGAATTCAAATAACGTATTCAAAGCCTACCTTCTATGGCATATCGACATTGCCCAGGTTGCACTTTATATGGGTATTTCTTGTTAATATCAAGCCAATCCCTGGAAGTAAATGAATTTTTATTGACATTTTCTGTGAGTGGATTTTTATAATGCTTAAATAATTTAAGATGATCTTTAGGAATGGTAAAAGCAAATTAAAACTCTCGAAAATGAGTAATTTGATACAATTTGACACTAATACCTTTTTTATAAATAAAATTGGAAATAGAGTGTAAATAGTAAAAATAAGTATAATTACAAAACTGAAATAAAATTATGAAATAGTCTTTTTGTATCACATAAAAAGAAAAGACATATGTTTACTTGAAACACGCATATCTATTATGGCGGATGTGTTAAATAAGCAATTTTAAGCCTTTTAGTGTTATTTCAACTTTGAAAAATAGATTTAAGTTTGGAATTCAGCATGAAGACTAACACATAAACAGAAAAAAATCTTTTTATCATATCAGTTTTTTTAGATGCACAAAGCAAAGTTTCATTTCAATTTTTATTTAATGTTTATACCAAAAAACAGAGAAAGCATTTAGACTAGCATTCTTTAAATTCAGTTTTAGGCATTTGAACTGTTGATGTTAACATGTTAAAATTAAATTGAGATTATAGTGGTTGTAAGTTACACTGTTGTAAAAACGAAAAATCGAAAAGGGAACAAATAAATATTGAAATGATATTTGATTTTTTACAAAAACAAATGAAGGAAAAATGAAAGGTAATAAACTTTACATGTATTTTTACTAAAGAGAAATTAGACATGAAATTTAAGTTCACTATATCATTTGAAATAATAAATTTATCGAATAAAATTTACTACAGTTTATTATATTTATCATGTATTGTTTAAATAAAGTTAAAAAAAAATTGGTAAATAAGTTAATTATTATTAAATGATTGAATTGTATTTCGATGATTAAATGATAGTTAATTTATTATTATGAATTGCTCATATAAAATGTTCATACATACATAAGTAAAACTATAGTTAAAGGCAATCACCTGTAGTCTAAGAAATAATAAAATCCTGTCCCAATTACAGCAAGCCATAGTGCACTTGACAGCATTTCTTTTTTTTTAAATTTTGAAACAATATACTGAATAAGTAAAATTGTATTATGATTAAGGTTCACATACGATGCGAGTTCACAAATTGACCTTACACCTTAGATACAAATGATATACAAGTAAACTGTTTATCTAATATTAAACCTTTGGCACGGGTTACTTTCAGAGGTTACTTTCTTAGCCATAGAGAGTTGATATATCCCATTTGCACGCTCCGATTGTGTAAAATATTAAAGGCGCTTTTCTCTTTACTTTTAACAAATACTATAATATATTTAGATAATTGATAATTTTGCGTTGATAATTGATAATTTTGCGTCGATAATTGATAATTTTGCATTGTTGCATGATATTGCACGGTATTACTCAGATGCACACAAATATAATCACAGACACTAAGCATTTTAAATGTGTGAAATGAGCAACGACGTGCACCGGGTAGATAATAGTAACCGTTTTGTTTAGTTTTTCAATAAATTGTTATTATTTACTAATAGTATATAAGAATATCTGGTAGTATTTCTATTTACGCTTGTGTTATATAATATACTATAGGTTGAACTAAGTAACATTTACAGGAAAAAACTACGTTACTTTGTTTCATCTTTCCTAGTTTTTTTATGTTCTATAACAAATAATTAACCTCTGTTTCCCCTAACCTTATCTCCATCTCAGATGGTTTACTTTTCTTGCAAAGATTAAGGACAAAAAGGTTAAGATGGGCGATTCAAGGTTAAGTAAATTTGTATAATTTATGTTTATATCTACGAGAAATCTGGAAGGGTAAGCGATAAGAAAATTTCCGGTGCCAAATGCATTACTAAAAAAAGGCATAGGTATGGAGTAAAGAAGCCATTGACCGTTTGTATAATAACGATAAAATACTGTTCTATGCTTTCAGTTTATAATTATGTTTAACTTATCAAATAACTTCATAATAAAGTGTTTCGATTAATTCTCTTTTGCTTTAAAGATAAGTCTCTGGTTAAACAGTAAAATGAACACCTTTTGAGCGCACACAAACACACTCGGAGAAGATGTGCTAAGTTTTTAACAAAACACAGTATGAATGCATACTGTCGTTTAAATGACAGCTTTATAACAAAGGACAAAGGGTATTTGACGATGACGCGGAAATGCACCTTCCCAAACGTAGTTTGTGCAAGAAATTTCTATATGTCAATACATTTCACCATAAATGTCTACCAAAATATCCTAAACAATTAATATTTCTTTGACTTTATTTCACTGCTTGATTTTGTTCAAATAATATTAAACAATTGCGTGCATTGTCAATTCAATAGGCACAATTTATAAATACAGCAAACTGACTTTGGATTATTAAAATATTCTCTCTCTTGACTTAACGAACTTTAGTATGTATGTTTGTTGAGGAAATAATAATAAAACTTAATTTGATAAATGATATTTGGAAATCTTTGTCTCGACTTATCTGAGTTCTTTCATAAAAAAAACCTGCGCACTCAGATTTACATTAACAATTTACATTTACTTCCATGCGAAATATTAATTTACTTTTACTGTAATTTTTTTTCAAAACGCAAACAAAACAAAAGATAGCTAAACAATATGGCCAATCAGAAACTTTTTGGATACGGCAACATGACATTAAAATTTAAAAAAAAAATGATTTTTAAAATTTAAATTAAATAGTTTTTAGACTTATTGGGCATTTTTTAAAATTCAAACAATAATTTTTGCTTCAGATATATAGCTTCATACTTTTTAAATTTGGTTGCATATTTTCATGCTAATTCTAACTCGAATATTCACAGTTTCTGATTTCTTAATAAAATACAAGAATATCAATTTTTAAAGTATTTTTATTACAAAGTATTTTCCATTACTTTCATTATTTAATACTTTGTCATGAATAACATTTTCTTTGAAATTGATATACAAGAAATATGTATTTGAAATAAACCATATATTCAAAATGTATTCAGCCGAACATTGCAGCATAGCGTGATGTATCAAAGAAAAATGTTCACTGAAAGTTATATCGCGTTTACTTGATCCATTGCTAGGTGTACTCTCGGCAAAAGAAAACTAACAAGAGGCTGGGTTTATACAAAAGTGTTATGTGATAATAATTTAAATGATATGACTGCATATTGTAGTTATTCATTCACATATCTTTAGAAATGTTTATGAAATAATTGTATCTAAATTTCATGTGGATAAACTTAATGTAAAAATGTGGAGCAACATTTTAGCGCTTTCATCCGTAGGTGCTTTGGCCACATACATAATACAATACAGGTATGTACAGTATTATTTTCTGATTGTTCAAAATGCTTTACAGCTGCATGCCTCTAGATGAGCAAAATATTTCAATTAAATCAACCTTGAGAAAATTATACTAAGAAGTAATTATATAAGAAAAGTAAAAATATTCACATTTCATGAAATAATTTACATTTTATATGTAATTAATGACAATAATTTTGCAGTATTTATCACCATATTTCTACTGTGTGACTAACGCAGTCAGGGTAATTGTGGCATATTCTGACATACTTTTGGTAATATTCGTAGATTTTAAGTGCCACTTTTAATGTCTTAATTACTTTCTTTGTTGATGAGTTGACAATAATTTACTTATCAATACATTTTTTTAAAAAAAAATCAGATTTTTCCATAAAATATCTGTAAATGTATTACTCATGCACCTGATGGGATTTCTCATATATGTGTTCTATGACGTAAAACATGAAACAAAACAAAGATAACATTAATCAATGGAAAGGTATAAGATGTATAAATTGACGCTGTTAACATCGTATCAAAAGTTATCTAAAACTTAACATAATTTTGCTTAAGGATCATTATACCTACAATACTGATTATATAAATAAAATTCTAAACATCTGTGCATACAAATAAAGGAAATATACCGTACGGATACCATATGTCAACTTGATTTTATACAATTCTGTTTTGAATCGTTTATATTAAAGGCGAACACGTATCTTAAAGTGTATAAAGCAATATGTGATGAAATATTTAAAAAAAAAACATTTAAAAACAGAGAATTATATTGTTGCCGTTAAATTTTAGTCGTTTCTTGGATTATTCGTTACAAAGAATATCTATTCAATAATTCAATTTACATGGATAATGTACGTACACAAAATAAAATGTTCTAGAACAAAATCTTCCATTGCTATTTCAAAATAGGTTTAGCAATGATTACATGCGTTCAAAAATTATACTAACAAATTTCATTATAAGTACTCTGATTTATCTCAAAATAAACACAAAGTTTACAATTCACAGACAACAAATATATATCTTTATACACTTTAACCGTCTAAAGGAATCTATGTTATGTGTTGTTCATATATTGGATATAATTTAAAATATTTTCTTATATTACTTGTTAGAGACTGGGTCGACTGGAATAAGAAGTTTATTTATAGAGTTGCACCCGGACCGTGCAAACAGGTGTTAACAGGTGGAAATTTAGTACTTTTTAAGCATGATAGCACATATATATTTTATTTTTTTTACCAATCATTTTCATTCAATATACGATAGCAAAATTACTTCATATTTTTAAAGAATTTCATACTAGTTTGTTGATAATTTGCTAAAGTTCTTTCTATAGATTTTCTCTTAAATCTCTAATTAATTCATGGGCATGAAAAATACATATTAACCAGGTTACTGACTTGTTTTCAACAATCATTAAAGATATCATAATATATACATTGCATTTAAACTCATTACAATTGTGATATGAACGCCAAAAATGTCAGAAAAAAGTGATATCATTCCTCGGTAGTATGCGTGTTACGTCTATCGTTCTGATGACGTCCGCGTATAAAAATTTAAAATTCACACAGATTTTTTTTAATGATGCAATTTTTTCATACATTTGATTAATTACTCTATTTATCCTAATATATTTCAGAAGGTGGTTCGGAAGATGTCACTTCTATTGGCAATGATGTCGTACTTATATCATCAGTAAGGGATAAAGTAGTCAAAACTCATTTAAATGAAAATCTAATTACTTTTCATCTAGTTAAATGTTACATAGCGTCTTAGTCAGTCATATGGTAATTTTCTAAATTTATTATGACAATGACAATGAAAATTTCAATTTCCGATTAAAATTCATTATATGATTTTCATTAATTTCTTTAGAACTGTTGGATTACATTATATTAATTTATTACCTAGGGTTTGGGCGCAGGAGAAGGTGAAGGCGTTATGAAAGCTCTGGATCTTAACACAAGCCAAGTTGTTACAATGAAAGTTCGTGGAGCACCCAAAAGAAAGGATTTCATGACAAAGCCTCACGGAATCTCAACCTGGACTGATGAAAAGGGTTTGTAAAACATCTTAAGTGTTTATTTGTGACGTTCCATCATACATTTTGTTCAAATATTAACTTGTATTGCATCTTTTTGAACAATAAAGTCTTACGTAACTATATTTCTATATAAGACACCTTTTGATTTTGATTATCTTATTGATTTTGTTGTTGTAAATTTGGACTGACTTTATATTGTAGGGAAAGTATATTTATACGTTTTAACACACCCGTCAACAGAAGATAGGATAGAAGTATTCAAGGTTAAAGAGAATAATGTTTTGAAATATAAACGAACCATTACCGATCCACTTTTTGGCGAGTAGGTATCGCCTTTTTATCATTAGTGAAGTAAGATGTGAAAATACTTTTCTTTAGTTCGACATTTTAAAACTATCAAAAATTTATCAATAAAATGAGTAATGAATATATAATAGCATAACAAGCTGATTCTTTTTAAATAACTGAATTTTCAATGCCCAAAAATGTAAAAAAAGCTATTCATTAGCAAATAATAATCTTTCTGACTTTCAATGTAATTTCCTTTTTCCTAGAAATACTATTTAAATTTTCAAAGACATGTTTTTAACTTTTTTTCGTCTAAACAAGAAAATGGGCCAGTGGAGTTAATTCCATGATGTATAATTTGTATAGCTTTTTTGTCAGATTTTTTTTTCAATATAAATACAGTGTTTAGCAACAGTTCTTTTCATTTGTTATTCATGGAGTTGATATTTTTATTAGAATGAACGATTTGGTCGTAATTGGGCGTGACAAGTTCTACATCACCATGTTGCTGCACTATCGCGACAAACCAATGCGAACAGTTGAGTACATGACGCAAAGTGCATGGGGAGCTGTACTATACTATGATGGCAAAAAGGCGAGAGCTGTTATCCCGTCTGGTCTATTTATGCCAAACGGTATCAACATTTCACCTGACCAAAAGTGAGATTTTTGATAAAATATTGAAATATTGCTTATACATAGAACAACATACAAGAAACAAAGTTAAACAAATGCACCATCATGTGATGCATTGCATTTATACTTATCTGAATTGGTATAAATAGATTGGTACACTTTACTAAAAAGAGACAAATATATTTTCTAAACATACGTCTTAAGAAATGTGTTATTAGTATTGCTAGTTTTATTGTTATGTTTTGTTTGTTTGTTGTTTTTGGGGTTTTTTTTAAGGTTACATTAATTTAATTAAATTCAGTGTGAAATTATAATAATTTTAAAATTAAAATATACTAAAATATTGGTTAATTAATACAGTAGTAAGGTACATTGTATATACATTTATACTGCAGAATGATATATGTGTCGGAGTTTGGGAAGAAGAGGCTTCTTGGTTATCACAGAGCAGACGACAATCTCTTGACAAAGGCGTGGGTAATGCCATGTTAAGTTAGCGTCATAAATATCTTGAATGATTTTTAAACTATTGCAACTATTGTTGTTTATTTACATATTTTGAAATGGAAGCATGAAATGGCTGCACATCTACTTTGATAATATATCCTCAGCCTAATAAGACACAAACTTTAGCAATCTTGAAATCTTTTACAATTTGAAAATGACATATGGTATGTGTAGCATAAGAGTTCAGAGGTTTCTTGAATAAAACGCATTTGTTGTATTAAAAATATCGTAAGTGTATAATATGTAAACACTTACTTTCACTCCATTTCGATACATGTGATACGGTACAGTTGCAATGTTTAATATATCAAAGCATTAAAACTTTGCGATTAGTACTATGTAGATACCAAGTGAGACTCCGAAACTGTTCTACAAATTCTTGAATAGAATTTTCTATGAATAATGTGAAAGCTTACATTATTTTTGATGAGGAATTCCGTAAGGAAAAGCAATGTATTCAAGCATAATCTTATAATTTGGAATACCCGTAAATAATATTAATACTATTTTGTAAACAAATAGGTTGCAGTGAAATTTTTATTGTATTTACTTATCTGATAATAGATAGGTCAGGGATCTATGCATTATCATTAGTGTGAATTTCATTTTATTGTATTTTTTCCTGTTTATTTATTTATTTATTTTCATTTCTTGTTTTGTTGATTGCAGATCAAGCTTTCATATATTTGTTATTTTTGTTTGTATGTTAAATGAGGGTGTTTTTTTTGTATTTCAATAGTCATATGACGTGGATACAATGGTTGACAACATAGAAGTCGACCAGGATACAGGCGAATTATGGATTGGATGTCATCCTGTAACGTATCGCATACTAGATGATATGACAAATGCGTTTGGACTGACGTTGCCATCACAGGTATCGCTATATTTTTTTTTAATTTTGAGTGTTTCATAATTTAATTTATTAGAAAGATCATGTGTGTTTTCCTTAACTCACAAAACATTTATACTATATTGTTGTTCTCTATGTTAAGCACTTCGTTTTCGAAAGGTCCATATATTGTTATGTTTTAAAATCTTTCTGGTATTGATTTATGAAGATGGTTAGCCTTGATAGAAATATGATAGTTACACATGTAATTTCTTCTTCTAGAAAGCCACAAGTTGACTGTTACTCAACATGTATACGCAACGCAAACAAAATAGTACAATGCAGTTTAACCATTTCATCTTTTGTTTATATGGTTTTACGAATGGCACAAGTTACAATTTCTTTATTATTTTTTTTTTAATTTTACAATTATCAGTCGATGCTTTAACAAACTATTTCTAATTTAAGATAAACATATTGGTACTGATTGAAATAAAAACGGTATTTTTTAAGGTATTGCGTTTCAAAATGGAAGACAACATGGTGTCTAGCGTAGAGGAGATTTACGCTGACGATGGGTCCGAATTGTATGGTTCAACAGCGGCGACATATGTAAATGGAAAACTTGTAATTGGATCAGTCAAAGCTGAGACTGTCGTATGCGATGTGAATTACTTATCACCATAACATTAACAAGCTTAGCAGATATTGACCAATGTGAATCTGATCTGAATATAAATTTTTTTATAGGCCTTATATGAATGACAATTAAATTTTAAAGATCTATTCAAAGATGTTTGTTAAGTTTTTCAAAGCTCTTCTACATATACACGAAGTTGTTTGTATTTAAGATGATAAAGAGTGCTAACGCGGCATGTATTTCCTCTATTGCAAATGTGTCTTTATATATGATGTTATTTCTATATTACATCTGCAAGTGTTACCCTGTGTTGTCATATATTTCTTGTCCATCGTGATCATTGATTCCAATATTTCAAGCGTTGAGAGTTTATTACTTCTTTAGCTGATTAAACCCATAGCGTTCCTAATGATAACATAGCAAATCACGACCCTACGATGACTAAAGACATTATTTCCTTCAAGATAGCATAACACATAAGGTAACATAACACACCATTTAATTTATAATAACATAACAGATTGTTCATCTTACGATTAAAAGATCAATACCGTAGACAAAAAATGCACAGTTTTGGTACCGACCATGTTTTTCAATAAAGACACTAAGTCTTGTAGAAACAATTGCAGTGTTCAAGTTTTACCAACACAGTATCAGTAATAGTTACTATAAAGCTTTGAATGTAGAGGAGACACAAGTCGTTCTCTCCGTTGATTATTTTTACAAAATAAACAACAAAAGCCGATATTTTGTTACCTAATTGACTTCTCACATCGAATTCCCTTGACCCACAGCGGTTAGAGACAAGTATTTCAAATCTGTCGACGACCAGATCCAACTGGCGACAAGGGCAGCAAGTTAAGAAAAATATATACAGAAAACAGCATCTAATGATCATGTAATTAAATCGTTTCGTTTTACCCTAATTTGAGAGATTCTATCGCCATATATTGCGTCTTTAAAGCGTATTAGTGTTATACAATTAATTGTGGTCACTTATGGTGAGCTTGAAGAGTAGGTCGGGCCTGCTCGTAAAGAGAATATTACAGTAACTTGGGTATCTTCAAAAGTGATGGCTTTGAAAACTTTTGCCGGAGGACAGCAAAATATTAGGTAATAAGTTTGCCTGCTCTTCATTGGAGGTAATTTTGGTTCCCTGTCCTATTACTATTTTTGGATCATAAAGGGAATCAGTACAATCAGATTTTCTGTACTATAATTTAAGAAGCGCCAGGAATTAGTACGATCATTTGAAACATCTTAAAAAATCAATCCTAATACGAAGTTTCGCGAAATTTCTATTCCCAAAATAAGACTCTTAGCGCATTCACGATCGTGTGATGAAATTAATCATAAAGCACGTAAAAAAATTACTGTACATTTTTGAGAAATAATCGTCTTAAATACTTGTTTAAGCAATATATCAATAAATATACAATAAATAGAAATATATACTGTCAATATCACCTTCCGTGGGAAATTAAATTATTAATAACGAACTTTGATTTTAAGTGATTTTTTATCTCCATAGAGATAATTCATTTTATCTTCAATACAAACATGAATTGAATGAAAAGTTGAAAATAGTGCGTAATATTATTAAAAGCATTGTGAGGCCGAAAGTGTGCAGTTCTTAGTGTGTTGATATCTTAATACGTAGTATGCAGTGTGCAGCCGTCGAAGACCATGATGGGTTTCATAAATATGGTCATAACATGATAATGGTGAAATGTTTGATTAATTCTGTCAAACAACTCGCTCCGAGGCTTAGCCTTATTTTTATTATATTAGATATAAGAGCAAATTTGTTAAAGTGAGTAATTTTATTTATATGTCCGTTGTAAACGTGTCATTCAGAACTCTATATATGACTTGTAAATTGACCTTTTCTATACCATAAATAGTACTTAATTGATAATACCTGATTAATAAAATACTTTCCTTGTCAATTTCATATATGTCAAATAGTTTTACAGCATGAATATCAAACACAATAATATCAAGGAGGCATTCTTTATAAAAGTCAGTGACATCGGCAAATGTAGTCAGCAATTCTCTTTCAAGCAGACAAAAATAAGAATATGCCAAAATGATCAGTTATCAAACTTGTGATACGTAAATATGAGTGTTATTTACATCTATATTTCTTGAATGTCCAACGAAATTCACAATGGATTCAATGAATACCACTGTAGTTCAATATTTCAGACTTTCAGGGGTATTTAAATTTCCCGGGGTAGGATTGTTACGTTAAAAATGGGAATTTCCGAAATCGTTTTCGAAATCGAGATATTTTTAATATAATTTATTATATAAACAAGGGCTCTACATTCTCAATTCTACATTTCTTTTATGCTTCTGACTTTCGTGATACAGATAATCATGAGTGCTTAGGTCAGTCATTGTAAATAACTATTTTCTAAATTGCACTGAATTAAAATCTATGTTTCTAGGTAAAAAGTCAGATTTCTGTATTTCATGACGTATAACACAATATAATTTGTTTCATCTATCATAAACATTAATTTAACATCACAATCTGATTTTGAAATGGATGATTTTTGGTTTCTTTTGACGGGAAAAATGAGCAAATGTTGAATCAGCGTTCGTTAATTTCTGGATCGTAATCGTAATCAAATAGTTTTGTTTATAGACCGTCCCAAATAATTTCAGACAAAGCGAAGAAAGGTTCATAGAAAAGTAAGATAGATTCATAATGGTTTTATGGCACAGACCATGTGAAAAAATCCACCTGGTTTTAGAGTACATCAAATATTTACTTTAACTGTCACTTATATCGTAATATGAACTAGTTCATATCTGACAAGCAAGATAAACCTTGTCAGTCAAAGTATATTTATTTTCCGGTGTTGAAAGTCATTGATTTATGTTACTCTGATATCTCGAAGTTGTTTATGAAAACGTCAGCGTTTTCCAGTTAATGAGACCGGGTTTACTCTTTTGAACTGATAACTGCCCTTCTACAAGATTCTTTTACAGTACAGTTTGTTTCTAAAGTAGAAAATTAGAACAGAAAATAAGTTCTTAGTGTTGCAAATATTTTCATGCAAGTTAAATCTTAAAGAAAAGTGGCATGTTGTCAACCGGTGTCTTTTTAGTTTTGCTCGGAATTGTTTTCAATTACTTTCTATTTTACAGGTAAGTGTTTTATATGTTTTGTCTTATTCTGCTTAACAAAAGAATTGTTCTAAGTCATTCCAAAAAGCTGTTATCATAGTTCTACAATTGCTCAAATCTGTCAGACAGAATTCAAACGACGATAAATTTTAAAATTGATGACATGAATAACGCACTGAAATGCATTATTCGTCAAAACCATTTCGTGTTATCTTCATGCAATATTCAAATGATGTTCTTCGATCAAATTTTCTCTGTTTGTTTAATAGGGACTGGATTCATTGGAATCAGGGAAGACTCTTGAAAGTGCGACCTGGACCATGTAAAACAGTTGCAGAAGGTACATGTATGCTATTTTGTAAACAAAAATTTCTTCATTTTTTTTGCAGACGATACGTTCCGCAAGGACACACAACATGAACATGCATGATGTTAGCATTATTCCATGTTTAAATAAAGAATACCAAGGAAATCACATAAAAATTGTTACGTCTAATAATACCACTAAAATTGGTATTCGCAAAAATGGTAATTTGACGGATTTTGTGTTTGCCCGTCCCAGATCTTATTTATATTTTATAACAAGCTACATGTATATATCGTTCTTTACGGTCCACGATTTACAGGATTTATGATTGAAGATCTTTCTTTACGCTGGTATATATCATTTTCTATTTTTTAAGAGTGATAGCTCTATAGTTATATTTTTCCTCAATAACTTATTTCACAGATGGTGGTTCTGAAGATCTTGTTTATATTGGCGATGGAATATTCCTCATATCAACGGTAACAATTTCTGTACTTGTAGTCTTTGCACTCCTGTCAATGATATTTTGTCATGTTAAAGTCATCGATGACGGCATATGTTCGTAGTGATACATGTATTTCAAAGCTATAGACATCAAGGCTCATATAGTATTTTAATATTTTAGTTAATGGTGACGTTTGGACGTACTAGTTATTCCAAACAATTAATGTTACATTTAGTTATTGACTAGATATGTTACATTTCAAAAATGTCATTTCCAGCCGTAACTTTCTTTTAATATGCCGTGTCACAACAATGATTAGAAATGGAAAAAGAAATGTTCAGATGCGTTCACAACGCCACCTTTTCTCGTAAAACATACATACATGCATGTTTGATATATCATGTTTACATTTTATCAACGATGTTTTGCGACTATTAAAGGGGTTTCAATTTGGGAAGCTGACTGGTGATGTTGTTGCACTCGATATAAATGCTAAACCTACACTAATCACCCTTAACAAAACCAATGTGCCAGATTCAGAGCAACATATTCTAGCCTCGCCGCATGGAATGACATCCTACAAAGATCCAAACACTGGTAGGTCTCTGTTGCTTTCGTTATTTATTTGGTTAAACAACATCACCTGTTTTGAATGTAGTATATATAATGGTAACATATTTCTTTATTGGTTTTAATTATTTGCCATGATTGATTATTTTTCATGGGAGAGTTTCAAGTGTCAAATTTTGCTATCAGATGACTAACTGAAAGAAACACAATCACAACTTTAACTTTATTTAAACAAACACGCTTTATTTCCGTTAAGAATTCGACATCGTTATATTCCATTGAAAACAAGGAAAGTCATATGATAGAAATATACATGTATTTAATGTTTATTGTTTGTTTGTTTGTTTTCTTTCAGGAAGAACTTTTCTGTATGTGCTGACGCATCCACCATCTCAGGACAAAATTCGTGTGTTTGAAGTGTTGTGGCCATTACAATTAAAATACATAAAGACCATAACCGACCCAAGTTTTACTTAGTATGTATTGATTCACTTTCTACGTCTAATTTTACAAATTCAATGTACATTTTGCAAATTGAATTTATTCCTTGTATAATTATAAAACATATTAGTTATATATAGAAGTTATTAGTTGAAAAGAACTAGCATAGTGCATTATCTGAAAAAAACATGACGTTATAAGCATTTTAAAATTATGGATACAACTAATGCAACAAATGAATATATCAAAATGGTTTTAGTGAATATTAATACACCACAAAGGATAATCACTGTCAATTCCAGCATATGGAGTAGGATTAAGTTATTAAGCCTTCAATCACCTGTAAAACGAGAAAACAAAGTTTTATTCCTCTAGCCGATGCAATACCGGATAAAGAAATGCATAACATGTTCCCAACTTCGAAATAAAGTCAGTGTAATATGTATATGTAAATACTATGTTTTTATCTCTGTAAATACAAGCATTAATTCTGTGTGTCTCTTTTATAGCATGAACGATCTAGTGGCAGTTGATGTTGACAAGTTCTACATCACTAAGTACACTATGTACCGTGACACAAATAGTATTCTATTTGAACATCTTTCCCATCTAAGACAAGGCAAGATCTTTTATTATGATGGTAGGAAGGCAAGAGAAGTTTCCGCAGGATATTTCTTGCCGAATGGAATCAACATATCACCAGACAAAAGGTATGTGAAACATATGATTTTGTATCCTTAAAAATATGTGTATAAGTTTCGGGGGTAGCACTGTTTCTGTAAATCTTTTAACCATTTTCAAAGCATATTGGTCAAAAAAGGACAAGAACAGGAAACAGTGAGCAGAATTCTACTTGAATTCACTTTGACGTTTGGAAATGTTGAAAATAATAAATGCTCGTGTTATTTAATATTTCCTAAAGTTTAAGATCAATTAACAAATTATAATAAATATTTTTAGTTGTTCTTCATTGAAACGTAAAAGATCACGTTTAAATCAGATAGTTGGTTTAGTAGTTGTTTAGTAGTGTTAATATTGTGAATAATTATTGTGCATCGCATTTGAAGACCTAAGTTTTGATCTCCGCTTCGAGGTGTTCATATGTTTGATTTATGAAGCTGGATGTCTTCTTATTCGTTGAAATGTTAAATGATGTGTCTAACATCCTGTAGAACTACTTCGACTGAAGACAGGTTCAGTGATTGTACTTGTTACATTACTTTTAACTGCTTTTAGAAAAAGCAATTTTTAAGATCATTGATAGATTATTTTCCAAAACCATTGATTCTTTTAAGATGTTGCTATTAAGTTTTGTAAAGACATGGATTTTTTGTATTGTCCAGTATGATCTATATGGCGGAATGGGGAGGCCAGAGGCTTTACGGATTCAGACGTGACTCGACCAACAACCTTGTAAAAGCATGGGTATGAAATACGATCTATTTAATACAGATACATATAATAATTTGAATATAATTATTTCGCATGACTATATAAATTGTCATTTAAAATAGATTTATACTTACAACATTGCGCGATGAAAAAAGTTTAGATCATGTTGCGTACACATTTTGAATTTGAAAATAAAATGATTGTATGTGAAAGTCATTTGTGATATTTATCCGCGAGATACGTATTCGTATAACTTAAACTATTAATCAAATTATATCAGTTAATCTATATGTAATTCTTATCAATTTGGCGATATTGTTTTCTTTTCTTTCATCAAGGTTAAAAAATCTACATCATTTTGTATGACCACTGGGTCCAGTTATTAATGTCTTCATGTGTTTGCATATAATTTGTTTTAGGATATAGATATGGGTACCGGTGTTGACAATATTGAGGTAGACGAGAAAGGAGATCTTTGGATAGGGTGCCATCCAACTACGTGGATGATTGTGGATTTCTTAAACATATTTGGCGTAACGCCTCCGTCTCAGGTAGGTTTATGTCTATGAAATGTCACTTATACTGGAAATGATTTTGAATAGTTGTGTTACATGCTTCAGTGTTCAGAAAAAGAAAACGACTGTGCCGCGTCGTTTAGTCTTTATAGTTTACTCGTCAGATGAATCGAGACAAAACTTTTGCATTGTATTACTGCTAGTCTTTACATATTCCTTCTCATATTTTATTACAAACTGATAACATTACTTTTTAATTTTATATTAGAAATTAGTTAAATGAACTAATCTATTAGTGTCTGATCTTATATTAGAAAAAATACTGGTTTTTTCTTACCTTTAACTGTATAACTGCATGCTCATCTGGCAAGATTTAGATTCATTTTGGACTTTCCTTAATGTATTCTGATATTATAAAATTAACATAAACAGGTTATTTCTAAAATGGACTGATACCACAGTGAAAATGGTATTCATATTTCAAGAAATTTATTTCAAGGTGATACGTGTGAAGATAAGAGACTCTCTTGTTGACGATGTCGAAGAAATCTACATGGATGACGGTACAGAATGCAGTGGTTCAACTGTAGCTAGTTACCAGAAAGATAAACTTATCATTGGAACAGTCTACAAGCAGACCGTTGTCTGCAATGTGAAATATCTTACAAAATGATGATTATAATAATATATTTTATAGCAGGTGTGCCTATATATAACCAACATTATTTAAAAAAAAACTAAATTATGTCTCCATGTTTTAGTAGTGTTTTGATGCATATTTGAGAAATAGAATAAAATTAACTTTCTGGAATATTATGTTGTTTGTTTTCCATAATGAGAAGTGTTTGTTGTAGAACATATTTAAAGTTTTATATCAATCGCATTTATGCAAAACATGACCAAGATATAGTTTAAGTTTTCAGATAATGCTATAATGCTACGACATTGTATCAAATAATATCTTTTCCTTTTTTGTGGTCAAGTTATCAAATTTGTAAGAGTGGTTCTTAATTGCTTTAAAATGTCATCAATGGAGGAAATCGATATTGACCTGATTTCTGTTAATCTTTGATAAAACAGGACAGTTTTATCTTCTGAATTGATAATGAAAATAATTCGATTCAGAGACATCTTAACTTACTTTATAGATGTTGCCTTTTTACAAAAATTGGCATTGCAGATTAAAGAATTTAGTTAGACAAAACGTTCATACCTTAGACGTATTGAAATACCTAAGACGTATTGAACCTCTTGCAAGTGTAAGCAATTGATACAAGAGGTTCAAAACGTCTAAGGTATGAATCGTTTAACTTAAAGTGTCCTAAAGAATGCTAGTGGCTCCCTTACACTGCTTTGCATGGAGATCATAATTGACATGTTGACGACGTGATTCTGGATGAAGACAAAGAGCAAAAAAGGCTTTGTTGTCAACTCGTCTAATTCATAGCTAGAATATCGTAATGGTAATTTTGCAAAAGGGTGCAGTAAAAAATGAAGCACATGTAGACAAGGAAAGTTTACTTAATGTCATTGTTAGATAGTGACAGATGATAAAGATATGTTGCTTTTCCAAAAACGTCATATCTATACCATGCGCGATTAGCTACTTTTAACAAATATTTGAATTGCTGTAGATTGCCATATTGATGGAAATGTACCATCACGTACGTAAACTGTCACATGTTAGTTAAACGGCTTTACCGAAATGTCTTCTCGTTGCCTCATTTAAATAAGTGGATGACTGTCAAAGATGGATTCATCACTTATTCACGTTATCAGTATTAGATTTAGAAGGGCGAACATGAACTGAATCTGAAAGAGAGAACATTATGAATACAATCCATTTACGAGATATATATTTCGATAACATAGATCGTTGTGATTTGCGTCTGATTATACTTTGCAATCAGCATTTGAAATATTAGTTTTAATTGATTTTTGCCGCGACATATAGGGATCACTTCTCATTTGTTTGATCGTCCGTCAGTCCATCCGTCCGTCTTTTAATCTGTCACAAAACTTGTCCTGACTACTCTTCAGAAACTACTAATGCAATTTCGGCATTTTTCCGGTTATGGCCGTGTAATGATTCTTTTTTATACCCCCGCACAACAAAGTTGTAAGGGGGGTATACTGGAATCAGCTTGTCCGTCCGGCCGTCGTCCGGCTGTCCGTCGGTTTTTTCTTGTCCGCCCAATAACTTAAGATTCCTTTGACCCTTAGTCTTCATATTTGGCATGGAGGTTAGTCATGATTAGTAGATGACACCTATTGATTTTGAGGTCACCAGGTCAAAGGTCAAGGTCACAGGGATTTGACTTCAAAAAGTTTGTCTGCCCAATAACTTTAGATTCCTTTGACCCACAGTCTTCATATTTGGCATGGATGTTGATCATGATTAGTAGATGATCCCTTTTGATTTTGAGGTCACTGGATCAAAGGTCAAGGTCATAGGGACTTTGACTTCAAAAAGTTTGTCCACCCATTAACTTAAGATTCCTTTGAACCACAGTCTTCATATTTGGCATGGATGTTGATCATCACAATAATGTGACCCCTATTGATTTTGAGGTCACTGGGTCAAAGGTCAAGGTCACAGGGACCTGGACAAAAAAAAGCTTTTCTTCTCAATTGCTAAAGAATGTCCTGTCCGCAATGTATTGATTTTGACATTTTCACATTTGAAGCATGTAGAATACATAACTTAGCAATGTACTGGCTTAGTAACCTCAGATTTGGCAGGGAGGTTGTCCTTGAGCTCTAAATGGCCACTGTTGATTCTGACAAAGTGGTATGCGGGGGTATTCACGCCATGATAGTGGCAGTTCTAGTTTTAACAAGTTTTGTCCGGACTTCTCCACTGATACCACTGATGCAATTTCAATGAAATTTTACAGGATTAATCACTAGCTCCAGTGCTTGTGGAAATTACTCTTGAATGAAAAAGATATTTTGGTCTGTTTATAATTTTTGTGTTGCCAGCTACACAGAAGATTGTCCGAACTACTCCTCAGAAACTACTGTACTTGTACAATTTTAACCAAACGTCACAGTAATGACCAGCAGTACGTCGAGTTGTGCAAATTGTCAGCATTTTCCGGTTCAGTGATTTTGTATATTGAGTTATAGCCCTTTACTGATTTGTATTTTTAAAGTTTCTTCCGGACTTCTTTTCTAATACAACTGATACAATTACATTTAAAAGCAATTTACATAATTGATCGGTACCTCATGTTCTTGCATCGGCGCTAATTAAACGGGTATCAGGTTAAATGGTTTTTGACAGGAGTTATGGCACTTGGAAAAAGGCGCATCTTGGCCTGTTCGTGATTTTGTGTCTTCTGCTACATATTAGCTGCAACATACAATTGGCTAACTTTAGGCGACGCATGTGATCCCTGATTGTTCAACGGTATTTGAAGATTACCATTGCCATGCTTTATAGCTAAGATACACAAGCAATTTATTTAATTATTTTAGTTAGCCTTTTCCTAGGGATGCATTCTGTTGGTCAGCTGCTTTAGTACCCGATGTACTCCAACTGCATTCTTTAGTTAGGTATATATGGTCGATTTTTAACATCTAAATGTCTTAGAAACGATTAATAACTTTTCTTTATATATCCTTTCATACAACATGCACGATTAAATGAAAATAAACAAGAGAACAAAACTCAGGGATATAAATTTGTAACCTAGTTTAGCTTAAACATATTTTATTGCATTAAATACATGTTAACAAACATATCATACAAATAATGAGTATATATCAAAATGCAAATGGGTTGGGCAACAAGTTCTTACAACATTAGATTAAGCCCTTCCCAGAACCTAGTAACCTATTAAAATGTGATAATACGTACTTATAATACAATGTATTTCAGTAGTATACATACTAGGGCAAGTTGAAACCTTAGCCTCAGAGTATACTTGTTTACCCATTTACGTATTTGTATTACATTACTTGCAGTTTGTATCACTTTCAGTACTTTGATTATTTAATATTTTGATTTTGATTGTTAGTTTTAATTGAGCCTTTATAAATGTTTATAAGATTTTGCTAGTCTTTTTTATATAAAACAGAAAGAACATATATTTATTAGACTAATAGGTATTTTTTTACCTTGATAAATAAACGTTAATAATAAACATGAAATATATCTATAACATATAATTGAACGACATACGTTTACATATATTCATATATTTCAAAGACAATTTTAAATATTTATATTGTTTAACCAAATACAAAGTATGTTTAATAAGATTTGTGCTATTTCACATGAATGTACTTTTATTTCAGGAATTTTGTTATCCATATGGTGACCTAGAAACTATCATATGAACTTTGAATATGTGTGAATGTATACATGTTTATTCCATGGCAGATTTATATCATTCACAATTTATATCACTAACTGAGGGCCAGTCCAGATAAGACTGTGATTTGTATATATGAACGATAAACAAAATTTTGTGATGAACTTTATGTACTGAAATAAAATACTACTAGATACAAATGTGCTTACTATTTCTGTCGATTAACTGGGATGAACAGAGGTATTACTTTATTCCCAGCATTGTACGTTGATATTCTGAAATTTGTAGACAAATTGTGCCACTCTTTTCTAATTTAAGAAAGCTGTTTTAAAGATATTTTCATCTTTCTTACTATAACATGAATTTTAGATATTTCATAAATGATATAGTAATGAACTTTTTTCCTGGTCAAAATGTATAAGTGCGTAAATGTTTTAATTTCTTTAAATACTGTTTTTATGTTTTATTTTAGAGATGGCATTAATTTTTTAAAACATATTTGTTGACAGTACCTTGCATACACCACTGCCAACCATAAACAAACTCAGTCACATCAACTTTTTTTTCTTTTTGGCAGAAGAATTAACTGAACAAGATCCTCTTTTTGTCTTTTTGAAGTCGCAAGCTGCCTATTAATTTGTTTCACACCCCACGCCTATTATGTAAAACAAAATTGATACGAGAACTATGCGATCATGAAATTAAAATGTAAGTCATATTTAATAAGATATTTTGAACAAAAGTTACTGATTGGCAAAGATTGTAATGCCTACGTTTTAATTTATTAAAACAATAATAATCAAAATAGATATTTATAATAATACAAAATATAATTTAAATAAATAAAAAATGCTTACCATACTTTGTACTACAAAAATAATTTATTTGAAGAAAAAAAACATTCAAACAATTAAAACTTGACACAGATTATGTTGTAAAGCAACATTATTTGAACTACTCAAATTGAAAGGATCATTCAAAAAATAAAGAGCATATTATGAATAAAATATGTTAGAAAACATTTAGAAAATATCGGGCGGACTACCTTTAACTCGGAGATTAACTTTATATGATAAATGTAAAAGCACACATAGGTATCAGTATAGTAAGGTCGTCATGTTCGGTGCTTTATGTTTTAAAATATTTAAGTCATACGTTAGTTGAAAGCTTAATGTAGATGTATTTGACAAAAACGGAATGCTTAAGATTTTAATCTATTTTCTATGAGGCAAGGGTTTGTTTGCAATATTTGATTTTTTTTCGTACCTTCAAAAACTAGTTTTGCTTTTTAATTCTTCGTATACAGTTAACTCCACTTATAAAGATATTTATAGAATCGCCGAATTGATATCGTCATATCCGGATATCGTTATCTCCGAGATGCAAACAATTTAAAAGCAGCATCGGTATAAGGGGTATATCGTTATAAGCGATATCGTTTTAAGTGGAGTTTCTATACATAATAGAACTGTTTAAGGATTTTACAGTATAACATTTAGATAACAAGCTAAATATAAGCTAAAAGGGAAACTCAGGCAAATTAATGACAAAAATATTAAAATGATCTTATGAATTCAAATCAAGCTAAAATGGCATTTTTTTTCAAAATCCCAGAATGAATTGCTGTATTAAAGTCTATATATTTGGGGTTTTGAAGCGTAAATATACCTATATATGTTGAACGAAATTTAGAAGCCGCCAGAATCACTGAGAAGTTTAAAAAACGAGTTTTGTGACTTAGACAAACGCTGAAAATTACAGAAATAACAGATGCTGTGGATATTGTATGAAGTCATTCATTTGTTATGTTTTTTAACGTTTCCAAAGTTCACTGTGACAACTATTGTGAAATCTTAAGGCTCTAACCTGACCCACGTGGGTCAGGTTAGAAAACCATCATTTAATACTTAAAATGAGAACAGAATTGTTCCTGTGACTGCCTAGTATATTCATTTTGAGGACATTATTTACAGAATAATTAATGAAAAACGAAAATATGAAAATTTTGCCTGTGTCTCCCTTTAAATATTGCCAACACTGCTAATATAGATTTATATCACGGAATTGTCTCATTACAATGGAAAGACATTTTTCAATTCCTTTCTTCTGATTTAATTTGGTTTAATTTCGTATGTATACAAAAGTGAGAAAATCTTTATCTGTATTTGATTTGGAATACAACAGACAATGATTAGTGATCAGTATGAAACATTGTTAAATATTGGTGATGGATACCCCAGCATTTAATATCAAAATTGTAATATTTAGTAGCCTTTTTGGTGTTATGGTTGTGATGTAGGTATTGAAGGCTGACATAGCTATACACTGGTAAAAAACCGTTTCATTATAACTGCTTGTCTCTGGCAGGTTTTAAAGGTCAATTAAGCCTCAACAAATTGTAATATTTTCATTAAATTTAAAAACTTTTTTATTTTGATTTTTGATGTCCTGTGACAGATTTCAAAATGTAACTCGCTGGCCATGTATCTGAGTCAAACTTCTATTGTATTAAAGTCAAAATAGCTCGTTCTTTACATTTTTTTATCTTTATCAGGAATATTTCTATATTATTAACTTTATACGATACGCATCCTAAATGTTCCAACTCCATACGAATAACATGATAAAACACACGTTTACCCTTTCTACAGAAAAAGACAACAACATATTTTGACAAGAAACACATTTTAATCATGATGGTTATTATTATCTTGTCTTTATGTATTCTTTTCTTTGTTAAATTGATGTAGTCGAAATAAAGGTTACTATTTATATCGAACAGTTAATAATGTTTCTTATATGTTGTTTGAGTAAAATTGAAATTGTGTAAGAAAAAGGTAGTGGAAAAGAAATTGTGTAATAATGTTGTCGGCAGCAATTAAAATTGCACTTCTTGGATTCAGCATAAACTTTTTGCTTAATTACAGGTACGTCATTCTTTAATACATCTTTATCACTCTTCAGTAGCCATAATACTTGTTTGACGAAAAGGTTGTATAAAGATATAATTGCGTTATAATTTTCATTTTCAAAAAAGAAAAAAAGCGGTATGTTCAAAATTAAGATGCACTTTATTAATGTCGCGTCCTCCGTATCTATTTTAATATCCGTTATAATTGTTTTGCCATGTTCAATGATAACTTTTTCTAATCAATAAAGCATTGTGTACTTTAAATTTGTGATATAACAGTGTGCGCTTTTGAACCATTTAAAGTAAAGATAAAATATAGATAATGTGCAAGATAATATAAATTTAATACATTTACATTTATCAAATTTCGAATCCCATTTGAAACGTTTCACACGTACACAAATGATTAATTTAACGCCGTTATATTGCAAAACATTTTGTACGCTTTTGCATTTATATTTATGTAAGTAAAGACTGGAATTTGTTGCCTGTGTTTATTTCATTATTACCAGTAAAAGTCGATTTTTATTCGGAAAATATATAAATGTAAGAGTGAAAGTTTACAAAGGACTCTTATATAATGATTGTACAAAATGTTATCTTGTTGATTTGATTATAATTGTATGTCAATGTGCAGTCTTCAATCATACATACGTTTCAATCATAATATTTTAACAACCATGGATGTCAAATAAATACATTTGCTACTCAATACATATAGTATGTATTTATATATTTACATCGGAGGTCAAGTGTTAAAACTACTTTCTATACCTATTCGAGATTATTATGAATTATCGGCGAGGCGTTCCGATTCAAATTATACTTCTAACTAAATGATTAAATTTTAGGCAATGGCTTGATTGGGACAATGATGCTGTAATGAATGTAACCCCAGGCTCTTGTGAAACCATTTTAAAGAGTAAGACAATATACTTTCTTTTTTTCACTATGTGTGTGCGCGCACGTGTTGTTGTTGTTATTTCTTAAATTTATTTTCTTGACGTTGCAAAAAAAATGAACTGAAAAAAGCAGGATATTTATTCATCATTTATTATTATCATGAAAGCACTAAATACAAGAGATACATTACAAAATGTAACTGCATGTGTTTGTTATCACCAAGACTTTCCTCATATTTTCTTGTAAAAAAAATAATTTTGTGAATGAAGTATTGTTTATTTTGCGATATTTGTAGATGGTGGATCGGAGGATGTTACACATATAGGAGACGGTATTATTCTGATATCAACGGTAAAATGAGTTAAAATCTAATTGACTTAATACGTATTTTTTCTGAACATAAAATTACTTTCATGAATTTGAAATAATTTTTCAATAATACTTGATCGCATTTTCATGAAACCTACCGATTTTCTTCGATTTAGTCATTTTGCTATCTAAATTTAATAAAGTATATGTTTTCGATATCTGAAATATCCCTACAATTGAATTTGGTAGGATATCTTACCCTGTAACATGAAAATGTTAAAATTGTTAAAATATATTTGTGTCAATTTAATGATGTGTAGTTTATAGCACAGTAATGTGTTTCATAGCGGTGGTTCGTATTTTAGGGATTTGAGTTTTTAGGACCACCAGGGCAGATTAAAGCTGTTGATCTGAAAAATGGAAATAAAGTGACGACATTGAACATCACCAATAAACCTGCGAGGGCCGATTTTATGTCAGCACCGCATGGAATTAGCACGTGGAGAGATCCTGACACAGGTCTGTAATTAGTCTTACATTTATGTTAAGATGTAGAAATGTCGTTATTATTCTATTTTAGATAAATTACATTACGATGGAGCGTGGACTAGATTTCTACTGACGGTGTACATAAAAGCAATGTGTATACATTTCTCAACTTATTTAATAAAGAATACATTCATTGGAGTTTGGCGGCCATAAAATCATTTTATTTTTGCATCGTATGATGAAATAATTACTCGCCCAATTGTTCATTTTCGCTTGTTTATCTTTCCAGAAATTTGAGCATGATAGATGTTGCATGAATATTTCTGATCTTCCTTAAGCTTATTTTTTTTAGGTTTCGGCAATTTGCAAACAAAGAAATGTAAACTGTTTAGTTCGAACTTTTGTATTCTAAGTTAGAGCTCGTAGATTCTATTTAATATGGATTATACATTAACATACGAGAAATAGTTTTCTATCATTAACATAAAGTTATCGTTATTTAAAAATATTATTTCATGATTCTAAGGCTTTTCCTTATTTATTCTAGTAATGATCCGTATCATATTAATATACCAAAGGATTGAGGTTTGTTTTAAATAGGCATATGCAGTAAGTCTGTGACATTTTCATTTATTTTGTCGAATATGAAGGTCACGTTCATTTCTTTGCTTGTTTTAGATCAGCTGTTTTTGTATGTGATCTGTCATCCGAAACCAGAAGATCGCATAGAGGTTTTTGAGGTCCTAACTTCATTGACCTTAAACTATGTCCGGACAATAACAGACCCAAACTTTGACTTGTACGTTCATCCTCATAGTTTGTTTAAACTATTTTTTATTTCACACAAGAATATTTCAACAACAATATATTATATTTGTTCTAACTGACGCAGTATTTGTACAATACATTTTTGTATGTACTCGTTCATACTCGAACAATATATTTGTCATTACAAATATGGTATCTTTGGTAAGATTTGTTACGAAATAATACTTAACTGTTACATTACTTCTTTATCTTGCCAGCTTTGTTACAAATTACTGTTATAGCTGCAAGTAATCTAATTATAAAGAATGAGTTTTTTATACTGCGTTTCAACAAGAACCTTGACAAATTTCTTCTGTTCACAACATATATTCTCTTGATAATGTTTAAACTAGAGGTATTTTAAAATAAATTTGTAGTTGAAAAAACAAACGTTCATAATTATTAACATTAATTATTTTCGCAGCATGAACGATTTGGTTGTGGTCGGAAAAGATAAATTCTACATCACAAAATTCGCCCGTTTCCGCGACTTCAAAAGATATAACATGGAAATGTTCAGTGGGATGAAATTTGGCGGGATATTTTACTATGATGGTCGCAAAGCTAGGGAAGTTGCAACCGGATACTACATGCCCAATGGAATAAACATCTCACCTGACAAAAAGTAAGATACAACAAAAAAAAACCAACATAATGTGTTTGCGACCACCATGGATCCAGACCAGCCTGCGCATCCGCGCAGTCTGATCAGGATCCATGCTGTTCGCTTACCAACCCTTTTACAAGTCGAGAAACTGATAGCGAACAGCATGGATCCTGATCAGACTGCGCGGATGCGCAGACTGGTCTGGATCCATGCTGGTCGCAAACCCATTATGTTGGTTTTGTCATGGCGCGGCTCAAATATACATGTGGTGTTTGCAAGTTTTTGTAGGGGACACTTATATAATTCATGTACTTATATCGGTTAAATGTAAATAAAAAACAAATAAAAAATATTGAATCATTGAATTTTAAACATTTCTTAACATCAATTAAATTTAACTATAAATTGAAGCATATATTATAATTATATTTTCCTTAATTTTAAGTTCATTATCAGGGTGTTTTTATTTATCTTTTAGGGTAGTTTATGTTGCAGAATGGGGAACAAAGACATTGCGAGGTTTTCGTAGAGACTCGACAAATAATCTTGCTGAAATCTGGGTAAGTTTCAATACAGTTACTTTAATTGTGGCTGCACAATATTTTTACAATCAGTGTTGAAATTATTTGATGAGAGACAGTAAGAATTTCCCTGAATTTCAATAAAATTTAATGTCTGCAATTAAAGTATTCTACCCAATACGAGCATAGTATATTATCTATCAAAGTACATGAATATTTGTCTGGATCTGCACCCATTAGGTCGTTCATCAAATATAAGTATTTGTTGTAATTCAGGTTGCTACCACACTTAAGATAAATTATATATATTATGTATATAATTATGCTTCTAAAACAATTTTCAAACATTGTATTGCAAATATTTGTTCATATTATATGTAATCATTAAAATATATGCATTCATTTCTTATTGACAAATTTGACTTGGATTTTATTGAAAATAAATTTCTAGTTACCTCCCTTTATTAACATGAATTGTAAAGTCGGTAATATCTTTACAAATAATGCTTTTTGGAATTTAAAATATTTATAAATCAATCTTCATTTGAGCATTATATATATGATATCAAATATAGAAAATAAGAATCCCTATCCTTATATATATGATATCAAACCATACAAAAAACGAGTTACAGGATCTTTCACGAAATAGAAAATTTTTCTTTTCCAAAATGAAATGATCGATATATTTTAAAAAAGTCTATAACTATCGAAACGATGCATTTATGTTCCTATTTATTTGTAAAGTTACGTACTCACAAACAATATTTTTTGTACATTAGAGTACGTACACAGGTACTGGAATTGACAATATTGAAGTAGACCCTGACACCGGAGATCTGTGGATTGGTTGTCATCCTGTTACTTGGAGAATCGTTGATTTATTTTTCGGGTCGCGCCCTGTTGGTCAGGTAAAACGGATGTCAACTTTTCTAGAGTGGAGGAGTTTCTTCTGGCTAAATTGTATAATCTTTCAGGGCTTCTCCAAAATGATATTTCAAAAAAGTTTAAATAATGTAAACACCTAACTGAACTTGATTGCTCCAGATACTATGATAATAAATTAAAAATTATGTATGAATTGTAATGATAATAGTGTTTTGTTCGTTTGTTTTATCAATTCTAATAGTGTGGGGGCTGTTGTTGTTGTTGTTTTTGTTGTTGTCTTTTGTGTGTTTTTCTGTGTGTTTAAGGGAGGCGGAGTTTCAATTAAAACCAGAGGAATTGTAAATACTTACTACAGAATTTATGCATACGTTGCATGTGGAAATTAACATTCTTGTTTGTATTCCAGGTCGTTCGAGTAAAGATGCAGGACAACTCAGTTTCTGAAATGGAAATTATTTATCAAGATAACGGAGATAACTGTGCTGGATCGACAGCCGCAACCTACGCCGCCGGGAAGATGATCGTCGGAACCGTGAGGGAGCAGACAGTTGTTTGTAAAGTGGATTATCTAACTCCAAACTAAACAATTCGTGATTTTTATCCATATGATCCCTGGTATTATAGGACAGAAAACCTATTGTTGTGTATGTCAGAGGGGAACTAGTGTTTGTAATGTAATTTGTGCAGCATCGACATATTTATATGTTCGACATATTTATATGTTGGATTTCTGTAACCTCAGCAAACCATAAGTTGTCGCAAAAGTTAATATTATGTCCATAAAATGCCAAACACATTTTGTTAAGATGTAACGTAAGGTTTTGTCGCCACTTACCTAAGCATTTTCAGTTTGAGGCTTTTTTATTATATGTCATCTACAGACAGAACTGTGATTCGTCCATCATTTGTTAAAACAAATAATATTCAAATGTGCATTCAAATACATGTAACTATAAAAGAACTTCAATATCAAATTCTTTCCCAAATACTTAATATGAATAACAATTTAACAAGAATGATGATGATGATGATGTTGTTGTTGATGATGGTGGTGGTGGTGATGATGGTGAAGATGAAGATGATGATGATGATGAACATACTGAACTGATTTGTCGCTTAATTGTATGCTTTGAATAAAGTAATAAAGTAGTAATTATGCAAAGTAACTTAAAATAGTTGTTTCTGATTAGTGAAATAGAAAAGAACGTATATCAAAAACGGCCATTGATAGTGGTAAGTGCAAAATACTATTCAAGCCACCTAGCGGATCACTAAAACATAGTAAAATGATGAAATGTTTAATCAAGAAACATTGAAAGCCTTTAGTTATAAAAAGTTATTTGTAACAAAAAGTACTCAATAATGCACGTGCCATCTTGAGATGATTTCATTTTTGATATGCTATTGATGCTGCAATTTTCGTTGCTTCGACGTTAAATGTGAGAAATACATATGCCCGTAGTAATTTTATATATGTGAAAAACGTTTGCACTTATAAAGCGCTTTTAATTCTTTTTGTAATTTCAATAACACAAGCCTGCTTATCCTGCTAGTTGCAGGATAAGAACCTTTTACGATGACTTTTGTCTTGCTTCTGATAAGATCCATTGAAACTAAGATAATGAATTCAGTGAAACAAACAATCAACACTGGATGCGAACCTGTAACTACATTACATTGTCCGGTTGTATTGCAACTTCTTCGATTTCATTTTCATCCATATCTTCTATTCAGCATTTTTGGTATAAACTCAATTACATACAGCAATGTTTTAGAACTGAGAAAATGTCTAACATGAATCAGAAGATATATCAACAAATCAGACGCATCTATTCAATTTTACTTAATGCTTTATTTGTTTTAAATTAAAAACAACACTGAGCACAAAGTAAGTTTTAGGCACTTGTTTTATATCTTTTAAACTTAAATGTAAATCCCCAACATATATGTTCGGAAATGTTTTTGAGAACATGAAATTTCTGATACGTTTTGTAAATTTATCAATTTAGAATACATGTCATTATAATGTTCAATAAATTGTTGTAAACCAAAGAACCTGGGGATCGTCCTAAATTAATTATTTATTTGCGCAATCCCATCACAATACCAATAGGATGTTTTTGTCATTGTCATACTGCCTTTTCTGTCGGTACATACAACGTTTGGTTGAATCTTTTTTAGCAGTAATCGTGACCCAGATTTCCGATATATATCTGACTAAATAAAAGGAACCTTCACTATTTACCTCTCTACTTATGCATATTTCATAAACTTTATATTGTTCATTAACATATAAAACAAAAAAACATGGTATTTTAACCAAACACTTCTTGGCAGATAAATGCGGATGATCTGAAAAATGGAAACAAAAGTATCGACATAAGACTTCACAAACAAGCTTTATGTCATTACTTCAGCATGTGATTATATCGTAATACTGGTCAATAGATAGTGTTCATATGATTATACAGTCGTACCACCCGCTGTTTTTGTATTACGCATAAGAATCACAAAAGTGGCTCCAAATATTTTTGCTTTTTAACGAAAATGTATACACTTAATATGTCTAAAAAAACTAATGGTCAATGCAAAACACGATTTTATCTTGCCGTCATGTTCCCTTGCGTTAGATATTTGAACCTTATATTGCTGTAAAGAAGACCCTACAATGTAATATAATCTATAAAGTAAGTAAATTTTGGCAATAACATGCTCTTACGTGCACGTTAATGTCACATAACAAATTTTTTACGTTTTCATGAAGTTGTAAGACCACTGTGGGTTGAATTTCTTTGAAAATGATTGCTTTATTTTCAGTCGATCTAAGAAAAATCGCCGATCCTTTAAACAGTCATGCCATGCGACCTTCTTGAGGCCAATTCCATTGGTAAAGAGTTATGTGCCTTATATTGCTGTTAAGAAGAACCTCCAAACTAAAGCGAGGTAAAGGTTGTCTGTTTCGAAGATTGCTGTATTGTCATCATCGAGATTATAGCCCATATTTCAAAGATTTTAAAAGGTATTCACACGAAACTTGGAGAACTTGCTTATCATGACAGCGTACAGTTGTGAGACAAGGGTCATTATTCTGAAAGCTACATTTCTAGAGTTTTGCCCTTTTTAACTTAAAATTATCGCCAAAATTACCTATAAAGTAAAATTATTTTAAAACTGTGAAAGACATCAACATGAAACTGACATAAAACTCATTTGAATTGTTTAAATAAATAATAATAAACAATGCTTTGAACGTGAACTATGAGGACACTACAATTTGTGATATATACGCTTTTTCACACGTGTGACGATTTCGTATAGTCAAAAGTTGCAATTAAACATATACGAGTATATATGAATTTTATACTGATTAGTAACTTTGTAATGGTGTATTTACTGGAGTTATTTCCTGATTTAGTCACATGGCTTAAACACATTTAAGGAGTTTTCGACCTGTTTAAAAATAGATGACTTTTCGTACTTTCATAAATTTAGGGAGCTACTGCCATGCATCAATATTGATTCGCAAACGGTGTTATAGTTTATCCGTGTAGACCGCAATGTTTGTAAACCGTGTAGACCGCAATGTTTTTAAAGTGTGATGTGTAGATCAACAGCTGAGAAATGATAAATCTGTTGAGCGAATGTTTATCATTTACACACAGGCAATATTTTTATAGAGTAAGATAGGTTTAATCGTAAATGGATTTTAGCGTTATTCAAGGGAGTTTATCACTGAATTATGATTGGAAAAGTTGTGTTTATAGCTCTTTTTGGATTTGGTTTCAGATATTTCCTTAACTATAGGTAAGTGTGTGTGAAACAATACTTATATACTTACAAACAACTTCTGTTTAAATGCGTGATTTATAATATTTAACCTATTCGAACCCAAGATCGCTATAATATAAACGGCTCTCTATGCGTCATAGTTTGTGAACCCGTTTAATAATACGACGGTCACGTGACGGCTAAAAATAACTATATTGTCACACGTGATATAGAATACATGTAGTTGAAAATATAGTCAAATTATTGTATATTTGCATTATATATCTATCAAACATTTAAAAAGATTTTTTTTTGTGGCCATTAAAAGTATTTTCTCAAAGGCATTTTTGTTCCTTTTGATATATAAAGTATAAAAGTTACTTTATGATAATATTGTTTATATAAATCATTAGCGATTGTGTGCATGTTATAGTGTTTTGTGGCATATTATATGCTGAGTATCGCAAATAACTATTGAATTGAATTTATAAACTTCTGATTTTATATTAATTTTTATTCAGTAGCCACAAGCGATCAGGTAGCTATTTTACAAAAAAAATCTAATACAATGCATATCTGTTTCTGGAATACTAAAATCATGGGTTTTCTCATTAAGTATATCAATATTCTTTAATTAAAGATGAAACAATTAGAACCGTTGACTAGGGAGTCTTTTTCTATGGTGTATTACAGAGATTGGCTAGACTGGGAAAAGGATGTGATTCTTAATGTCAGACCAGGCAACTGTACAACAATCTTAGAAAGTAAGACTATTTGAAACATACCTACTGCGCACCGTATATAGACATACCTACTGCACACCGTATAAAATATAACCAACGAACAATCAGCTTTTGAACCACGTGATATTCTAATAGAAATCATCATTATTATCTTATTAATTTAGCCTCGTTTTTATTTCCAGCGTCCAAAATATCTATATTGAATGCATATCGTACTAAAGCTTCGTTTCCATTTCTAATAGTCCAAATATTCATAAATCCTTGACGTACTATTAAATGTTAGAAATGGTGGTGTAAAACAAAGAGGTCATTATACATTGTTGAGCATAATACTGATTCTATTGGACTGGCAGACATCTTTTAAATCTATATTATACTCGACTTGCAACTCGTCCAATATAGGTTTTTCGGCTATGTTATTCATCAGATAAACATTTGTTGTTGTTGTTGATATTGTTGTTGTTGTTGTTGTTGTTGTTGTTGTTGCTGCATCAGGTATAGAATACATGTTCATTGGCAGTAACGCAAGTTTTCATATTATCGGAAATTCCTCTATTTACTTTTAATTGGACACACGTCTTTTGGTTTTTATAGTGTAATTTTAATGGATATATTTTATTGATTACTTTTTATAATCATATTTTATCGGATATACGATTTCTTTTATTCCTAAGTTTATATATAAGTTTAGCGGACACACGTCTATTTGATGGTAAGTTATAATAAATCAGTCGTATTTATTGTGAAAATGTTTGCTCATTTTCTAAATGCTGTCATGATTCCAAAAGTCATTTTCTTAAGTCATCTATGATAAGTATATTTAGAAAATCATATTTTGCTCTGCACAAAAATAATAAAATTACTTACATTTCTTAAGAACGGTATCATGCATCGTGACTGAAGAAGTAAGTCGGTTTTGTTTATTTATTATATATTATGTATGCAAATTGTAATTCATTGTTTTTAACTAACTGTATTTGTAGATGGTGGGGCAGAAGATGTTACGCACATTGTTAACGGGGTTCTCTTGATGTCAACAGTAAGTCGAATATTGTTTCGCTCCTTTAGTAGTTAATTTTTTTGTGCTTATAGTATGTTAACAAAATAAATAAGAAAAATATCACTACTGTAAAGATTACTAGTTGTCTTTCATATTCATTGTCATGATATCGGATCATAAGAGCTATTATTGTCCATTTTCGTCAGCTTAAGAAATTATTTCTCAAAGATACACAGTCCTGTCTTATTTCATAATATTTAAAAAAGACTCATTCGAAAACTTGTTTCTGCTTATATAATAATTTGGGTTTTGTGCAAACGGTTTGTTCGATCCGCACCATAATTTCCTGACAATTGCAGAAATGTGTAAAGTCGTTTATTCTTTTGACATATTGTTTTTTATCAATGACGATTTCTTATATTTTGATTTGCATTGCACAAAGGGCTTGAGTTTTTCCGGATCAATTGGAAAGCTGCAAATGTTGGACTTACAAAATCACAACAAGTTAACTCCACTAAATATTATAAACGCGCCTAAAAGAGAAGATTTTCTGGCGGGACCTCACGGAATAAGTACATGGCGAGATCCAAATACAGGTTAGAATTTTTTTTAAAAAAGAGATAATTTTTCCAGTGACATTATTACATAATTTCTTATATTATCTTTTTTTCTCTTTTTTTTTTTAATCTCAAACTTGAAATTCATTCCTCAACGGAAACGAAAGTTTCATTCATCAGACTTATCATTTTATAAGGGATACAACACATGCAAAGAACAAAATATATGTAATAATTGATTTCTAGGTATATAAAGTAAGGACATTTATAATGTCTGAAAACTTTTTATTGTAGTTGAAACCATGTGTGGTATTGTTCTATATTCTTACTTAGATTTCAACATAAAAAAATAACAGTAGTATGTCCTAAACTATCTGATTGCCCTTCTAGTGAAAGGTTAATTTTAATTATAGGTAGACAATGTTAAATCTATTTTTGGACAATGTTAACTCTATTTTCCAAAAAGTGTCATTATTAAACTTATTTACATGGTTGATGCAATGTTTGTGTTTTTGTTTTTAGATCAGTTGTTTCTGTATGTGATTACTCATCCAATGGAGGGAGATCGGGTTGAAGTTTTTGAGGTTTTGAAATCGTTTGAACTTCAGTACATCAGATCAATTACAGATCCCCTTTTCAAATTGTAAGGCTTTTTTCAGATATTTCACTCCTACATGTTTGATTATCTGTATAAAAATGATGTACACAGGCAAAATAGATCTAATAACGTGAATGGGATTTAATTAAATGAATAGTTGTTCAATAGTGTGAATAAAATGGGTTGTTGTTTATTGACATGTAATAAGTGAGGCGTTGTTTATTGACATGCAATAAGGTAAGTAGTTGTTTATTGACATGCAATAAGGTAAGTAGTTGTTTATTGACATGCAATAAGTGAGTCGTTGTTCATTGACATGCAATAAGTGAGGCGTTGTTTAAGAAATAATATCGGTCTTAGCGGTGTTTATCGGCTATTTAAAACCGGTTTGGAATTTTGATGCGTATGAATTGACCACGAAGGCCGTAGACCTGAGTGGTTAATTTTTTCGCATAAAAACGACAAAACCGGTGTAAAATGCAGTAAGTGAGTAGTTGTTTATTGACATGCAATAAGTGAGTAGTTGTTTATTGACATTCAAAAAGTGAGTCGTTTTGTTCATTAATTTGCAATAAATAAGTTGTTGTTAATTAATGTTGATAACCTAAGCCGTTGTTTATTAATTTGCTATAAATCAGTCGATGTTTATTAATGTACAATACTGTGATGAGTATGTGCTCGATAATGTGGATGGAATTAGCCTTTGTTAATTAATGTGCAATAAATCAGTCATTCTTTAATAATAAATAGGAAATAGAATAAAAATTAGTTACTTTTCATGAATGAAAATGACATGAGTCATTTTGTTCATTAATCTGCAATAAATGGGCCATAGGTTATTAAAATACAGACAAAAGTTTTTTATCAGTTACAGAAAAGAAATAATGCACGGAGGGGCACGTAGGTTTTTCCTGACATTCCGTATCGGTGTGTCTTAAAACCCAACAAATGAATCATTGCAGTTTGCTCCTCCTTATATCATTCTAAACATAAGACGTTTTATTTCGTTGATTATTGTTGATTAATTGTAGAATTTAAGGTAGATCTGCACGGCAGAGGCACAGGAAATAGAGAGAAACGGAATCCCTAAAGAACGCCTAAAACGACAAAATTGAGAAAAATACAGGCTCAGCTCATTAAAAACCATTCCTTGTTTAATTTAGAAGTAGCATTATATGTTAGAAGTAGGCGTGTGTAAACATCAATTGTCATCTTGTTCATATTCCAAAACATATTTCAATGATGTTTTTCACGGTCAAGTATCAGGTATGATGTCTGCAATTCTTCGGCCACAAACATATGATGCAACCAGAACTGTTAGGGTACATCTTAATAAGTCAAGTGACTTTTTTGCATGTTAACTTAGTTTGAATAAGTTTATAATGTAATTGAGTATTTGATTGTTTGTCCTTTTTATTCTTATAGGATGAACGATTTGGTTGCTGTTGGAAAAGATAAGTTCTACATAACAAAAAGCATACATTTTCGTAAATACATAGTTTTAGAATGGATAAGTCTTCTTAAATTTGGTGGTATCTATTATTACGATGGTAATAAAGCGAGAGAAGTTATCCAGGGATACCATGTACCTAATGGAATCAATATCTCGCCAGATAAAAAGTAAGTTAAGCTTTGTTTTCTAAAGATAAATCATTTTAGTAATTTGTATTTTTGCGAAACATACATATATTCTGGTGTTTACATATATTAACAAATTACTTTCACGTTTATAAAGTTTAGTGGTTCGCATTTAATCGATAGGCTTGCAAGACATTGTACAGTGATATCGTTCATCCACTTTGATAAAACTTTCTAATTTTGCCCGTTTCATATGATATATTCACACTTGTAGAACGTATATACTAATGGAAACAAAACGGTGGTCAATTTAGTACCTAAATTTGCAGAAGTTTATTAACGACACATTATTTGACTTGAGATTTATTAGAACAAGGTTTTATGTGAGAAAGGTGTTAACGAATGTCAAAAGACATATGTTGCGGTTCAGATCGGAATATCCGTCTCGAGAGGACCCGCCCAATGGGCGGTAACAAGGCTTCCCTGCTTCTTTTTAATTTTTGTCATATTTGTTATCATGCTAAAGTGTTGTTATATCCGCTAACGTACAAATATTATTTTTAGAATGATATATGTCACAGAATGGGGAACACGTTCGTTAAAAGGCCTTAGAATAGACTCGTCAAACAATCTTGTAGAAGAATGGGTAAAGTACATTTGATATACAATGAAAAATATACAATGGTGAATTTATTTAATTATGATGTTCAGATGGTTGTTGTCCAGCTATAGCATCTTTATCAGCTGCAATAAATATATTTTGCACTTGTTTTATGTCATTTCCTACGCATCAAAAAACCCCAGACCAGTGGTGAATAGCCCTAGCCGATGAACATAGCCGATGCCAACATTATTCTTTAAATATGGGATGGTTTACATTGAAACTATAATATACAATCAGTTTGATCATAATTCAAAATACCTGATTAAATACTTTTTTTTCTTGAAATTGCGTATATTGGTTATTTCTATGATTGTTTAACATTTGTCAAATGATACGTCTTCTTTTAACATGTCTTTTTCTAGAGCGTGAATACTGGTACTGGAATAGACAATATTGAGGTTGACCCTGACTCGGGAGACCTTTGGATAGGTGCAATTCCTATCACTTGGAAAGTTCTCATGGGCCGATTACGTCCAAGTCAGGTATAGTGTCAGTTAGTTTGTGATTTTTGTTCATTATTTAATCGTATCAAAATATGCTTATTTTTCGTAGTATGTCAATCAAACTCAGTTTTGAAATCTTAAAAAAATATATATCTAAATACTATTGGTATTGAGATATAAACACTAGCGTGATCAAGAAGAGTTACTATGATCAATTTCAAAGTGTTTCTTGGCCTTCCGTCTTTATTTCTGTCAGTTTGTACACAATCGTGCGCGATCAAGTTGTTCCAATTTTAGTGGATTTTATACTGAGCAAAACTATTCAAATTGTTGATACGACTGTAGTTTGCAAGGTCCGTAGCCCAAAGATCAAGATCAAAAGCCAAAATTGTAGACTGCGTTACAATACCGGTCCATATAAAGCCTTTCATTGTGGGTTTGAAGTAATGTTCAAATGTTCCCCATTCCAAGTATTGTATGAATTCGATTGTCAAGTATGATTTCTGGGAATGTGGGACATAAGTCACTTTTTCTGGGTCACATTTTTATTTTTTCTCCTTGCCAGCGTAATTTTCATGGCTATAAATAATACTCATATTACAATCAATTCTATATCTATACAGGTAATCCGGGTCAAAATGCGAGAGAACAAGGTCTCCGAGATGGAAACAATTTACCAAGATGACGGTAGAAACATAGCTGGATCATCTGTAGCAACATTTGCTGCCGGGAAAATTGTCGTTGGCTCTGTCAATGACCAAGCTATTGTTTGTGATGTGAATTACTTAACACCAAACAACTAGAACTTTTAGGGAAGATACAAGAATTTAATGACATTTGCTTTTAGCATCAAGTATAAGACTGATAATGTGAAGCTGAAAATGTCTGAAGGATGGTGTCAAGTGTGTTGATCTCAGTTCTAACTCGCCTGGTATAATTCAGAGCCAATTACTTAAATATCAGTAAATTGTATGTGAAGTGAATGTTTTGTATATTGAATTGAATGTGTATCCGGACTATACTGGTACAGAATCGATAAATAAAAGATATTTAAAACGATATTCATTTAGTTAATAATATAAATGAAGAAACGAAAACCTGATATGATACTTTGCTGATAATAATACCAGACCATCCCAAAATGCACAATTTTTCTTTCCCACATTTGAAACCAGCACAAAAGAACAAACTCTTACTTTTAACCAACATTTATTTAAGTGGTATGATAATAAAAACATGTAAAAAGTTATTTGACAAAGGTTGTAGTAAAACATCTACAAGTATTCAAATGTTAATATATGTCCCGGGAAGCTTGTCACTTTCCGAATCACCATTGTCTGACAAATAGTCCATATCACATATTGCGGCCTTCTTGGACACGGTTCCAATCACTAGCTTCCCATTGACATACGTTGCTGATGATGTTCCTGATAACATATTGCCATCCTCGGAGTAAACTTCTTCAATCTCGGAGATAGCATTGTCAGTCATCTTTATTCGCAACGCCTAATCAGAGAAAAAAAAGCTTTCTTAAAATATCCAAACTAGGTTTTGGACCAACTATTGCTATGAAGCAATATTTCAATAATCAAAAATACTTTAAAGGTCTTTTTTAAAACTAGAGTCAACCATCCATCATTTTAGAACACAATTTTGAAATATGTACTCAGTGAATAGCGAACAGTGCTGAAAATGATAAGTGAAGTCCCAAAGGCAATAAATATCGTATACAAGCAAGTGTTTATTTTAATATCTACGTACAAATTTATACAATTTTATCAATGTCTGTTTATGTTTATGCATGTAAAATTTTATATGTGTATCGTTTTCAAAATACAGAAAACCTGAGTTTCAAACCTAAACTTAAATAGGTTGCAAATCGCATACCTGACCGGGAAGTTTCTCTCCAAATATGTTTATAAGACTAATGGTTTTCCACATAACGGGATGGGATCCGATCCAAAGATCGCCGGTGTCTTGTTGTACTTCGATATTATCAATACCAGTTCCAAGATACGTACTCTGAAATGTCAACAATAGAATTTAACGTGTATTTTGAAATAAATGGTCTGAAAGTTACTTATTTTAAACTGTTTAAGCAAAATAAACTCGGTAGTAATTATGTGTACTGCAATTCGATTTATATGCATTTCCACATTATACAAAGCATCTGTGTTTATTACTTTGAAATAATCATAGATAATGATTCTTTACCTAATCTTGTCTGTTTTTTTATTGCAAATTGTAATCAATCATTTCAATACCCTTGTTCGTTTGCACATCAGTCTTGGGGGATTTATGCGGATTTTAGCACATTTTTATAAAATATTGGGGATGGTGAATTAACCAAACAGATACTAAGTATTTTTTTGCAAGTGAATCAGCGGTAAGAGACAAATGATTATTAGACTCAAATTTAAATCAGGAAATATCACCTTGCCCGAGGATTGAACCAGCTACCTCTGCATTTTTTTATCCAAGGTTCTCACTGTTGAGTTAAGCTGACGGACATTTCAAAATGCTATGTAGATACGTTTGGAAATGGGTCAATGCAAGATGGAGTCTGTTTCGCTTTTATTTAAATAGAGCACAAAAATATTTATCTAAATCGAGTCTGAAAATCCTATCCATTTATTTTTGCTTTCCCTAATCCTGTTATATATACATTATGGTGTACAAAAAGTCTCACTTAGGTGATAGCATTTATGTATATACGAAGCAAACTTTACAATTATATACTTACCCATAATTCAACAAGATTGTTACTAGTTTCCCTTCTATATGCTCTTAAAGTCTTTGCTCCCCATTCTGCTAGATACAACACCCTTTACAAATAAAGAAATATACAAACATATACTAACAGATTATGTGTACCATTTTATCATTTCATTGTCAGTAAGCCTCTCCTGACCAAACAATATCATGCATTAAAATAAATTTAAAAAATTTAAAACTTTGTATATTAGTAATATTAGCTTTTTGTTGTCCGTTATATACATTTACAAGTACATGTATTAATAACCCTGCAAAAAGCTCAATCATTAAAAACAGTTTTTAACTTATTTCAAAGTTGAGGCGGTGCTATAGTTTATATACGTGGAATGTTCTAGTATAATATCAATACTGCACATTTTCGGGTTGTATTATGCCAAACCAGAAATACTTTTTTGACGTGTAAGGTGACCAACTGGGTTTTCCATTTATCAATACATGTCTTATAGTAAGGATTCTGATTAACACATGAAAATTGGTAACTAATATTATGCCATACTTTCCGTCCGGGGAAACATTGATTCCATTTGGTTGACGGAGGTTTGATGCCACAACCCGAGCTCTGTGACCATCAAAGTAAAACACTTTTCCACTTTTCCAATGGGAGAGCCATTCAAGGTTTATTTTATATGATTCGTCATGGATGGAACAATAAGCAAATTGTGAAGTGTAGAACTTATCCTTCCCGACAACGACTAGGTCGTTTACACTGCAAATAGAATATACGAATTACATATAGTTTGGGACTACCTAAAAATATCACATAAATATAACTCATTGTGTTCTTACTATTGTTCTGACTCTCAGGTGAAACCATTTCCTTATTGGCGTAGTATGAAAAGTTTCTTGGTAAGTAAATTTACGAAAGTTAAAACAAATTAAGGGTCACATATAAGAACTATAGAGATCCAGTATTTTGAAGAAAATACTAAATTTATATTTAAATGGATGACGACATTATTCATTTGCAAACAACCTAACAATTTCTTTAACATCACAAAACAATCAGTATACCTACAATGTGTGTTGCCTTGTGAATTCAAAACTGAATTAACGTTTGTTACAACAAAAACTGTTTACATGTTACTGGAATTAGCATTTACGTGTTTCTTTTTAAATAACAATCCATATACATATTATCCATTTTAAATTTCACAGATGGGAACTGAAAACTATTTTATACAATATAACCTTTTTGGTAGCAAAGCTATTGTGTGGTTATATTACGAACGTGTTGTCCAACTACAATGTACCTGAGACTGTGGATCATGGATACATTTTCTTTAGAGTAAAACATACGTAAATCGACCAAGTGTGGGTAACTACTGCTTGGTGTTGCGCTGCTTGCTTCCTTGTTGTCATATGTATCTAAATGTTGTGGGGACAGCCTTCATTGACCCTCTCTTTGGTTGTTATCAATTTCTCTTGTTCAAAGACTAATAAAAACTTAATAATATTAATGTCATGCTGTGATGCCATAGCTATGAAATATAACGATGACTTACAATCTAAAACTCGAGTCTGTAAACGTTTTAAGGTATCTTAAATTCAAATCATCTTCAATCTCAAATGCTTCAATACTTTCTTCTGTGGCATGTGATATTACATACAGATATCGCTTCCCTGAAATACACGAAATTATACTTTATATTCTTTGTTAGAATAACAAACACATAGAATAACAGATTTAAATGAACGCAACCTTACTCTTGCAAGCTAAAAATACTTATTCTTCATTCAATCTGGACAAAACCATTCAACATTTCAAGGAAGATTTTAAAATAGGTACAGACCGAATGGTAAACTGAGCAGACAATTTAACACGGCATAGATGTGTTGGATGATGTTGTCCTGAACTTATCACATTCAGTCTCCGCAAGTGGGATGAAAATTAATTTGACGAATTTTATTCTACATAAATGCAGTCAGTTCAGCCATTAGTGTTCCTGACACTATAGTATATATATCATTAGTATCCACACTAAATCTGTACCTGCCCAATTGTCGTGAAAGATATTGCACTTGACATAGTTTCTTTTAAAGAATAATCAATCCTCCTGTAATTTTACATTTGGTCATATTTTTATTGTATGTCCGTTGCTCTTCTTTTATACAGCTTACGGGACGTCGGTAGTTCTACTCAGGGGCTCGCTCGTGTCTGAAATAATGGACGCAAGGGTACCTGAGGTCTTCTATCACCAGTAAAGCTTGGACGTCGCCATATGACCTATACTGTGTCGGTGTGACGTGAAACCCAAACAACCAAACAAATCTTCTTTATAATAAAGGTAGAACTTATATCAGTTTTCAATCATAAAATAACCAATTACCAGTATTGGGATCTCGCCATGTGGACAATCCATGGGGTTTGGACATAAAATCATTCCTGGCAGGAGCATTTGTAATATTGAGAGTAAACGCCTCTAGACTTTTGTTTAAATCAACTGCTTTTATCAATCCTTCTGAAGCCTCTAAACCCTGAAAATTGAAACGTAAGGCAATTGAAAATTTGAGTTATTCTTCCTCTGTCGGAAAATGTAACGAGTTGGAACAAGAAGAAAAATAAAGCAAGTTCTCTCTCTTTTCAGAAATTATAAAACTAATTTACACGTAAAAGGTCATGTATTTCAAATTGCAAAATATTTTTTTTCTTTTTAGCTTGACTATTCGATAAGAATAAGCAGAGCTATTGTAGTCACCCGAGCGTCGGCGTCGGCGTAACCACTTATGTTAAAGTTTTTGTAATACCTCAAATATTTTCAAAGTCCATTGACATATGGCTTTGAAACTTTTCACACTTGTTCACTATCATGACCCCAACCTGTAAACACGACGAGGTAACTGTATTAAGTATTTTGACAGAATTATGCCCCTTTTTCGATTTTATTTTACGTTAAAGCTTTTGTAATACCTCACATATTTTCAAAGTCCATTGACATATGGCTTTGAAACTTTGCACACTTGTTCACCATCATGACCCCAACCTGTAGACAGGAGAAGGTAACTGTATCAAGCATTTTAACAGAATTATGCTCCTGTTTCGACTAAGAATTTTCGTTAAAGTTTTTTAATACTTCAAATACTTCAAATATTTTCAAAGTCCATTGACATAATATGTTTATATTATTACTTTGAAACTGTGCACACTTTTTCACTATCATGACCCCAACCTGTAGACAGGAGGAGGTAACTCTATGAAGCATTACAATTTACATTAGAATTTACATTTAAGTTTGCATACCACCTCAGATATTTTTATATTCTATTAACATCTGGCTTTGAAACAAGTTGAAATTATTTACTTCTCCTTGAGAACACAATACGGCTCTCTTCAAGGCCTATATCTGTAACATGGATTTAAAGACAAATTTTGCCCTTTTGTTAACTTAGAAAATTTTACATTACCAAGGCTTTTTTTTACTATCAAGCACTAAGAATAGTCGAGCGTTGCTGTCCTACCGACAACTCTTGTTAAATGATATGACTTGTGTTGTAGCCTCATATAACAATAGTCAAACATATTCTAGATTATCTTAGAGGGTTTATTTGAAAATATTTGCCGAAAAAAAAATGTTTGGTAATTGAAATCGAGGATGTTTTCTGTAAATCAGGGTTCGTAGTCAATATACATCTTAAGAAATTTTATCCTTACATGATATTTTCCTTAAATAAAGATAAAATATTTCTTATCCGTAAGTAGTATTTAAAAAGCTACTTAGATTAATTTTACAAAATCTACCAACTCAACAAGGTCACTTTCGCATGGGATCAATATATAAAAACAAGTGGGTGGAGGTGATTAAAATACAAATTCGGCCTTGAGACGCCTCGTGTCTACTAGACATGAAAGTAAGATAATGGACGCTGTTATTTACTGATGTCTTAGCCAGACACCGTTGTCATGTTAAACAAAATACCGACATCGTCAGGTCAATCGAAACTTAGACTTGTCAACTATAGGATTTAAGTAAACCTATTTTATGTAATATTGCTTGTTTTGATAATAATCTATTTTAATTTAATCTATTTTAATTGTTTAGTTTATAACACTATTTAAATAAGGTCACAGTAACCTTGACTTGAATTACATTCTTATGGTTTTTAATTAAATTCTTAATTTTACAATGGTGGGCAGAATAGCTTACAAATCAAATGAATTTAACTGAAAAGGCAAGGTTAGGGTGAGCGTTGGCTTAGTGCTTTAACTGGTTGCTCCTCAACACAGGGATAGTGTGTTCGAGGAGTATTTCGTTTTATTTTGTGTTGTTTTTTTTTGTTTTTTTTTGTTGCTTTTTTTGTTGTTTTTGTTTTTTGTTATTGTTTTTTATTTTTAGTTTTTTTAGGTTTTTATTTGCTGTTGTTGCTTGCTTTCTTTTCTTTTCTTCACACCTCACAAGCTTCAAGTGTAAAAACCTCACATTTGTACACATATTTTTTAAAAAAAGTAAAGTAAACTGAAATGATCTTAAAATCAAAGTCAAGGGTTTAACATCTAATTTGGAAAGATACTGAAATAATCAAACTTTGAATGGACTATTCCCAATTCAAAACAGGACAAACTAATTACAAATACAGAAATTAAGCAGGTTAAGTGGGTTATGAACACATCTACGGGGGTTTAAAAATTCAAAATTTTGCCAGTTTATTTTAAATGTTGGATTCTGCTTAAGCCGGTGCTAGGGGGCATGGACGGTAGCTTGCAACTACCACTACCGTCTATGAACGGCTTAATCAAACCGAGCCTGCAACATATTCAATTTTGACGTGTTGGGCTTTCTTTTGGGATTCTGTTGTTTTTTTCATCTCTATTTTAGTACAAGTAAATATCTTACCGTTGAAAACACAACGACACCATTACCAATATGAGTCAAATCCTCCGAGCCTCCCTCTGTAAAACAATTATACCTCTATTAGTATCATTCCAGACAGATATATTAATCTCATTCACAGTATTAATTGCAATCGACACGGGTATACCAACTTGCTATTGGAATATAAAATCATCTTATTTGATGCATTCATTTGGTATTTCTTGCCTAAATGTTGGAATAAAAATCATTTTATCTTGGTTCTTTTGCTTTTCTTCCATAAAAGAATACTATTAGTTATAAAGATTTTTGACAGGTTACTAGTATATGGCTCTTTATTAACTATTATATATATAATCGGAACCACTTTATAAAAACGTCAAGATTTTCCAATAGAAAACAACGTTACAAAAGTGCTGAATCATAACTCGTACTATATATGCGGTGAGCAAAAGCATCCGATCGCTATAACAGTTTCTATTATTCTTCATAATTAATTTTGCCTTGCAAATCTATGCTTTGAATATTGCATGTTCCGGTCACGGTCAAAATAATCTATAAGAGTTACCTTTGTGCAATATGTTTTTTTAAAGTTTTCAGATATTGCAGTTAAAACAATGTGCGTTGTTAAAATTTTTAAACGTTAAACTTTGTTCATCTAATTACCTATTCTTTTTGGTGACAAAAAATTTTTTGAGACATATCATTATGTCTTTGTAAGTGCAGCAACAATCGAGAGATGAATAGATAAAAAGCTTATTCTAGTTGAAAAAAAGATTGAATTTGTGTCACATTTCATTTAACTTAGAATAAATCTAGAAAGTAAATTCTTACCATGGAGAACAATTCGGCATTTCCCAGGAGCAACAGAGAAAATAATTTCACGGTCAAAATCCAACCAGTCCCTGAAATTAATTTTAACATATTTCTAAGATTCTTGAACTCTTCTTGAGTATTACACAGTAGTTCATTTTTGTTTAAAACGCATACTATATGTGACTTTGGAGAATTCGTGTGAATAATAACGATTTATAAAAATTATGATATCGTCACCTTATTGCAATAATTGGTTAACTCCTTTTAAAACTAGAAGGTATTAACCTTTACTGCACTTATGAGACGGCGTATGTTTACGGTTTTCACGATATTTCTTTTCTATTTTACAAGACATTTCTCATCGCGAATCTATACAAAAATGTATTTTTAAGTATTTTTTAACAAAAAATATCAACGTTAAAGCACTTTTAAACGGGTATAATAATAATAATAATAATAATAATAATAATATTTTCTACAATTAACAACCTATAGTCCAAAATCTGTTTAAGGATAAAACCGAGGAAAACTAGCTTAGCTGCGGAACCAAACATTGCTTAAGTTTGATTTATACATTAAAATGATTGTGAAATAAATTTATAGTTTCGTTCGTTGTTTTGTTTTCTTATTCCATAACCTTCACCTATTTTAAACTTTCACCTCTATTACAAAATATTGCTGACGAGAGGCGGTGTGTCTTTGTCAGCATATTTTAGCTACGTAGCGGTAAAGCATTGAGTAAATAGATTATACTTTTTTAAAATCATTTATACCGCATCATAACTATATTGTTAGGGATAGCATGGTTCGTAATATAGTATATTATGACTATATTAGCCTGTGTCTTTATTAGGTGAACTTTTATCTTGTCTATGTCTGTTTCTATGTTAAATATTTCTTGCAGTTGGGCCGTGTGAGAATATGCACGTAAGCTGATGATCAGTAAAACAAGATGTTCTCAAGTACATTTTTGAAATAAACTTGATTTTTCTATGAAAATAAACTGTCCAAATGCAATGTTTATAGAATATAAAATATACTGTGTTGCAAAAGAAAATGTGTACATGGAAACAGGGAAATTCGAAATACTCTCATTTAAGCCAAATAATGGAATGTTTGGTATCAAACTTTGCAGAAATGTATTGATTGCTCGATTATTTGCATTTAATTTGAAATTTGATCAATATCAGTGTAAACGGCTGAGGAATTAAAGATAAATTTACAAACTTGTGCCTTTGGATATTTAATTTTTTGACTGGAACATCGTTTAAATCCAAGTCCATATGACGTATACTCGGGTCTCGAACACTTTCTTTGATCATTAAATGAGATTATCTCAATATAGACTGGTTAATGGTCACGTAACGAGACAACAAACATAAAAAATGCATAATTCTGTAACTTTTACTTTTATCAAATACACTATTTACACTAAACTAAAATGCTGATAAACTTCAAATTTCAATACAAAATGAACTACATTATGGTCAACACATGCCAAATTTGAGACTATTTATCTCTTAGATGTACGCGGAATTTCCAAATAACACCGTATATTATCCAAACACATACATGGACAGTAGCACCCAATGTGTTAGTGTGTACGTTTTGTGTGGGGTGCCATGCGTGCTTTGGGTGTCTGTATGTTATTGTTTGAGTTGTGTCCTGTGTGTCAGTGCGTGTCATTTCTTATGTTTGAGTAATGCTATGTGCCATATGTGTCAGAGTGTGAATGGTGTCAAGTGTGTTATTAGTATGTCTGTGTTTGAATAGTGTACAGTGTGTGTCAATAGCTCCCTATGTGTGACAGTGTGTGCGTTCTATGCTCTGTGTGTTATTGTAGTCGTTTACTGTGTGCCTGAAGCGTCCGGTGTGTCGCGTAGTGTAGAGTGTGAGTAGTGTCCTGTTGGTACGGTGTGTCGCGTAGTGTAGAGTGTGAGTAGTGTCCTGTTGGTAGGTGTTAGACTACTGTGTGTCAGTGTGTGAGTAGTGTCATGTTTGTCAGTGTGTGAGTTGTTTCCTTTTTTGTTAGTGTGGGAGTAGTGCCCTGTCTGTCAGTGTGTGAGTAGTGTCCTGTGCGTCAGTCGTTTTCTTGTTTGTCAGTATGTGAATAGTGTCCTGTCTATCAGTTTGTGAGATGTGTTCTGTCTGTCAGTTTGTGAGATGTGTTCTGTCTGTCAGTTTGTGAGAAGTGTCCTGTCTGTCAGTGTGTGAGTAGTGTCCTGTCTGTCAATTTGTGAGAAGTGTCCTGTCCGTCAGTCTGTGAGTAGTGGTCAGTCTGTCAGTGGGTGTGAAGTGGCCTGTCTGTCAGTGTGTTAGAAATGTCCTGTCTGTTCCTGTCTGTCATTGTGCGAGTCGTTTCCTGTGTGTCAGTATGTTAGTATTGTCCTGGCTGTTAGTGTGTGAGAAGTGTCCTGTCTGTTCCTGTCTGTCATTGTGCGAGTCGTTTCCTGTGTGTCAGTATGTTAGTATTTTCCTGACTGCCAGTGTGTGAGAAGTGTCCTGACTGTCAGTGTGCGAGTAGTGTTCTATCTGTTCCTGTCTGTCATTGTGCGAGTAATGTCCTGACTGTTCCTGTCTGTCAGTGTGCGAGTAGTGTCCTGTCTGTCAGTGTGTGAGTCGTTTCCTGTGTGTCAGTATGTGAGTTTTGTCCTGTCTGTCAGTTTGTGAGTAGTGTCCTGTCTGTCAGTGCGTGAGTAGTGTCCTGCCTGTCAGTGCGTGAATGGTGCTCCGTTAGTACCGTTCATTGTGAAAGCTATGAAGTGTGTGAATTACGTTTTATATTGAAATCGCCATTACAAGAGTCATTTTATAAATGTTGTTGTTAGTATTTTAGTGGAGTAGCGGGGGATCGAACTCGCAACCCCTAGACTTGTAGTCAGACAGTGTTACCACTGCACCACAGCGCCCGCTCTGATTTATAACTATTTTGTAGTCCCTATATACATTATCACATTAGTAAACAAGAAATTGAGTAATACAATTGAATTTTCACACCTAAATAGTTAATGTAGCTTTTAGGTCTATAGTGTTTTACAATGGCTGACATTCGTGTCCTTGCTCGAGGGGCTATGATAAAGGACTAGACACAAACGAGTACTGAAAGTAAATAAATAGGACTGTTAATAGGCAATAAAAACATATTAGAAAAGTCATGTTCTTTTTTATAGAACCGCAGTTCTGATATTGCTGTAACCAACTCTGTTAATGGAAGATAATCGCTGCCAAAATTACATCCTGCGTTCTTACATTGTAAATTGCAGCCTCTATATGTCTGCAAGTAAATTCGTTCATTAAACCTTTAAAATGGTTACTACATGCTGCATTCTTACATTGGAAAGTGTAGTGTTGTTTTTTTTAATTTCATGGAAAAGTGTGCTTTCTTCTAACTCACTATATCACTTTTATTTACAAGATGATTTCTTCTCACTCCTAATGAATAAATAGTACTTTATGGTTAGTCTCTCTTTTCATAGCTAATAACATAAATTCTTTGCTCATTTTGAAACAATTAATTGAATGTGGTCATTATGATGTGGTCATTATTATATGATAAGATGTTGTTATTAAATACCTATTTATTATGTTGTTCTTGTATCTACCATTTCAAAACATGTGTTAATCAATTATTTTAGAAATGTACTGCACAGCCGTAAATGGTTACCTCGAAATAACATTTTCTATATCGCAAATCGGCCCTTTCCATCACTCTTCGGATAAGGACTAATAGCCTAACCGAGGATGTTCCGATTGTCATCACGGATATCCACGAAACCATAATATAAAGTTGTTTGAAAATATTTTTTTTTGCGTTACTGCTACTGCTGTGCTTCTGCTATTGCCAATTTCACGTTTTATAATTTGCCAATTGCTACTGCTGTGCTACTGTGTTCACGTTTTATAATTTTGCTTCTGCTACTGCTGTGCTACTGCTAACTCCACGTTTACTACTGCTGCTACTGCCACTGCCTACTTCCCATACATATGTAGCAAAAATAAATTTTGCTACTACTACTGCTGTGCCACTGCTACTGTCAACTTCACGTTTTATAATTTTGCTACTGCTACTGCTGTGCTTCCGCTATTACTAACTTCATATATTTTTATTATGCTACTGCTACTGCTGCGCCACTTCCAATTTCACGTTTTATAATTTTGCTACTGCGACTGCTGTGCCACTGCTATTGCGACTGCTGTGCCAAGGGTACTGCCAATTTCACGTTTTACTGCTGTGGTACTGGTACTTCTGTGCTACTGCTACTGCTGAGTTACTGCTACTGCTCTGCTACTGCCAATTTTACGTTTTATAATTTAACCACAGATATATAAACAATATATCTTATATTTAGCTCCATGATTTTACTACTGATACTGCTGTACTACTGCTACTGCAGATTTCACGTTTTATAATTTTTCTACTGCTACTGCTGTGCTACTGCTAACTTCACATTTTCTACTGCTGCTACTGCCACTGCTTACTTCCCATACATTTTTGCTACTGCTCTGCTACTGCTACTGCCATCTTCACGTTGAAGTCCATTTAGCGGGGTGAAGATTGAGGGTTTTCATGCAATTGTTGGGATAAAAAACAAAAAACATAATTAATTAAAGCTACATTTAATAAATTTCATAAAAAACTAAATAGCGACATTTCATTAATAAATTGTGTTTTATATCGACTCCAGGTCTTATTTTGGTGTCCAGACAACCAAAATGAGTTTTATTAACATACAAATGGGTAACATCATTGTGGCGAAATGGGAAGTACAATTTCTGTTTGAATGAGAAACTCCGCCTTCAGATCATCCGTACATCAATATTAAATCAACAAACATGACTATAAGTAGCAGTCCTAATTTAACGGTATATTTCCGCATGGTAACGGATGTTTTCATACAAATTTAATCTTTTTACGAGATGATTACTTTCACTGAACCCCAGACTAAGTGCACCGTGAAGCTAAAACGGTTAAAATGTGTTTGCACAAGAAAATATCATATTTGCTGTGTTCAACTGTGACGTAGCGCATACACGAGCTTATTACAGTCTTCATTTGCATGTTAAAATTCGTATACGAACTTTAGTGTTACCGTGGGGTTTTCCGTTTAAAATCCTAATTTATGAACAATGTTTGATGAGATTTACAACCATACTGTTAAACAGGTTAATGAAACTGTAGAATGTTTGGTTTTTAGGCCGACGGCAAAATATTTTTTACATATTTATTTAATGTAGCTTTTGTATATCTGACTATAATAATAATGATAACAATAATAATAATAATAATGATGATGATGATGATGATGATGATGATAATAATAATAATATCTTTATTTAAAGAAGGTTACACATTAAGAACATACAATAGCAATCATACTGTCTATTCATTATTTTCGGTAGACAGAAAGTGAAAGTAGACGTTACTTTTTTTTAAATACATTACGTGACCTTGTGTTAACACATGACATTTTGTGTATACATGTATAAATAATACTGGATATCAATAAAGATGTTTTCCGAAATTAAATGTTTCTAAAAACTCGCATCAGCCATATGCCGTCCTCAACAAAGGGGGTTGTAACGGTGCCTGGACTCTATATTGGGGTTATTTGTGACCAAAACTAGGTCCAGACCAAAAAAAAAAAAAAAAACAGGTGACAATCCTTTTTTTTTTTTTTTTTTTTTGGTCTGGCCCTAGTTTTGGTCACAAATAACTCCAATATAGAGTCCAGGCACCGTTACAACCCCCTTTGGTCCTCAATATTACAGGTGAACATGCGTCTTCGCGCGCAAAGTCAAATAATATAAGGTCAAATTCAAACCCACCATTCAGGTAATTGTTTAATATTTAGTGGACTGGTAGTGACGTAATAAAATAAATATTAATGAGGCCCAATAAAGTTTGACATAAATATGTTAGTATTCATCCGTAGCTGTTCTACAGAAATTAGAAACATTCTCCGGTCGCTATCGCTCCCGTCGAAGTTTTTAATTTCTGTAGAACAGCACGGATGAACACTAACATATACTTAATTGCTGCATGGACTTTTGTATCCCGCCGCTGACCCTGTATAATCTTACTCCAAATGGCTGAGCGGTTTTATGTTGTTGTTTTTTTAAAATATATATTGTTGTTGTTGTTTTCTTTTTCTTTGCCCTAAGGTCATCGATAAGATCTTCAGTAAGATAACTGGAACTTGTAATTTTATCAGTAATATCAAAAATGTAAGGTTTTCTTATCAAATATCACATCACTATCTGATGTTTTGATATTTATTTTCTAGAAATCGGACTTTTTGTTTATTATAATTATGAAATCATGGTCTTTGAAAGACAATTTTCAATTCGTTGTTTATGTTGTAAGATTTGTTTTATTTATCTATTTCTTTTTATCATCGTATAATCCATAGTTCGTTTTTTGCCACCTCATGGACCAAAGATCTAACTACTCCAAAGGCCATGGCAATGTTGTCCCGAAGGCTCCTCTTGTCACAACTATTTAATTCTGTCATCCCCATGATCCCATGTACACGTACGTTAATATTTCAGAAATACTTTCATACTTGGTACAACATGTCATGAATCTCGTCATATAGATAATTGAACATGTTCAATACTATAAACATTCGCGAATTTGACTTTAATCGTAGATGCCTTTTGGGTTTAAACATATTTTTTAAGCTCGATTGCGAAACAAGTTCTTGCACTTTACAGTTCGCTTCCTGGAACCAACCAGTACTGGTGTCATATGAAGAGACATGGTCGTGACCCTATTAGGGCTTGAAGCCATCCACGTACATGTTGAGAAGCAGACACCTTAACCACTAGGCCACCACTCTTCGATTAATCCCATACAATGTTTTTATTGCCACAATACACAATAAAGTATGTACACTAGCTTGGACTGACTTTATTTGTGTCAATCAGAGACTTTTAATTATATATAGTTTTGTGGGGTATAGATGGATACCGAAAATAAGATCGCGGCTACGAAAATAAGATTTATTTTTGAAATAGTGCAATTATCTGTTTGAATAATTATGTTAGTAATATATTTATGCAAAACATATTTTTGGTATTATCTACCTTTTCTTGTTTTATAAGAGAAGATTAAATACTTACAATCGTATTTGCAATTAATACAATTTTATAAGTTATGATCTTATTTTCGTATTCGCCATCTTTGGTTATTTTCGCATGCCTTCTTTCTATACTATATGGGATATTTACTATAATTATATTTACTTTCTTTATTATTTCATTCATACAAATCATTTAATAACAACAAAAGTACATTTTTAATACATTATATCACAAATAAATCTTATTTTCGTAGACCCGATCTTATTTTCGCTCACACGGCACTTTGAGCTAATTTCGTACGTATGAATTTTCGGCTCAAACTGCACTTTTTTAGATATTTTTTTTGGTTCTGAAATTTAATTTTCTGTAAAATTATTGAATGAATGCATAAATATAAAACTAACATAATTATTTAAACAGATAAATGCACTATTTCAAAAATAAATCTTATCGTAGCGCGATCTTATTTATACCGTAGTTTTTGTGTGTCAATCTAGTGCCATCGTAAACTTATCTGCATAAGTATTTGTTTTTAACTTACATATCCGCATGAAAAAAGTATGTACACTTACTAAGGTTAAAGAAGTATACAATTAACTATAAAAGCGATTATTTCTATGTCGACTCGCGCAAAGAAGTCTTTTTCGCAAAAAAAAAAAACTTTTCGTATCAACCATAAACTTTCGTAATTTTAGTTTGTACGTACGTGCCACTTCCGGTAGTTGTCAATTATAGAAAACATCAAATTCCACACTAAAGATGTCAGCCAGCGTGGTAAATGACCCAAAAAGACCTAACAAAATAACAAGGTAATAATTGATATATAGGAAACTAATGGTATTGGTACTTATTTCATTTATTTATCTTGATAATCGGCTTATTGTAAATTGATGAGTTTTCGGTCGTGTAATGGATTCGGATAGAGAAATTTTTACAAGTCTGCACACTTTCAGCCAATTCACAGTTTCACACAACACTTCTACACACTATTTTTCGTTAAAAAATAAAGAACATTTCATGTTTTATATGTTTACTAGTTTCTAAAAAACATTGGTGAGTGGTGACAAATTATGCTAAGAGTCCCATTTCGGGAAATGTACTTTGGCAAAACTTGGTTTTACGGTAATGATTGATGGTAATTGGCATGGAGCTAAATATACATTGAGAAGAAACTGTGACATCACACAGTTAAATTCAGTATCGACGGAATTCTGTTCTCACAAGTTATCATATGTGGCGGAATTTTCAGAGATTTGATGCATCCTGGAAAAAAGTAGCTAAAATACCTCCATATTGAATTGAATTATGGACAGGGCGGACTGAGAGACAGGGCGGACCGTGACTCGAGACTAGGCGGACCATATTGTGGGACAGTGCGGACCGTCACTCGAGATGAGGCGGACAGTGATTTAAAAAATATTTATATGTGGATTAATGTAATAAAAGTATTAAATTATTGATTTTTTGTTCTTCATATCAATATTTTAAAGCAAATATAAAAGTAAAAATATAAAATTAGTTTTAAAATTTCATGTGTAATTGTATATTAATTTGCTGATTGGACGATGTAATTAAGACAAAACACGAAACACTTATGATATAAACTAGATTACAGTAGTAATATAAAAATTTCAGAACATTTACAGACGCCGAGACGGTCCGCCCTGTCCCAAAATATGGTCCGCCTAGTCTCGAGTCACGGTCCGCCCTGTCTCACGGTCCGCCCTGTCCTGCAGTCATTGAATTCCCGGAGGTACATCGACAAAAAGAATAATAATTTTTACTTATATAAGAAGCAATAGTTATTTATTCTTAAACGTACAATGCACACTTTTCCATACAAATATTTCTGCGGTGAAAATCCATGTTGGCAATGCAAACAATAATTCTGACACGGATATCAGCAAAGTTTAACGAGAGAGCGAAAATTTGAGACTAGCAGGGAAAACCCGATTATCACTGAAACCTGCAAAGGATTGTGGGTCTGAATCTGACTATCGTCTACTTTTGGAGCTTCCTATTCGTTGTATTTATATATCTGTGTAATTGGCAAGGTTTTACGAATATCAATTTGAGTTGGAACCATAATTAGACAGTAAACCAGAAAAACTGTTTCCCAACGTTCTACGATAAATATAAGTGCAGGTAACCTAAATGTACTGGTACTGATTCCTGGCATGCTCCAAATATAAAAGGACAGGGAACCAAAATAACCATAGATGAAGAACTAGCAAACTTATTATCCATAGTTTTGCAGTACTATGGCAAGTTTCAAAACTATTGTTTGAATATAAGGATACTCGTGTTACTGAAATGTTCGCTCTGTAAACTTGTTAATAAATTTGGTTTAAATTACATCTATTTGTGCCAAATTTACTGAACTCAGCCTTCTTGGCTTAGTGGTTAAGGCTGCCAACTTTATATCATTTGTCTCTCGCAGCTATGGGTTCAAATCCTGTCAGGGTCTTTGGATTCTGTCATTTAATGAAGTTATCCAGCTAGCTTTGAAATGGAAGGTTGGTGGTTCTACTAAGGTGCGGACTCAATCCAGAAATCATTGGCATTGGTGTATCAGTGGTCTTCTCTACCAGTTAAAGTACTCTTAAGAAAGCTAGTTGTTTGACCATTACCATAAATGTACAGTGTGATGTTAGTTAGTATACAACATAACAAACAAACTGCACCTTTTAGGTTATACAGCTATGTGTTATGTTTTGTTGGGTATGTGGTTTGTTCCAGAATCCTTCTGTAGTAGTGTCTTAAACTTTATGTTTCATCATTTCAGATATAAGCCTCCAAGCAGTAGCGGTCCTGGAGATGACCCGACACCTGACTACATGAATCTTCTTGGCATGATATTTAGTATGTGTGGTCTTATGATGAAGGTATGCTTTATGTCATATATTATAAGGTTAAACCACTTTATATGTGTGGTCTAATGATGAAGGTATGCTTTATGTCATATATTATAAGGTTAAACCAGCTTATATGTGTGGTCTAATGATGAAGGTATGCTTTATGTCTTGTATTATAAGGTTAAACCACTTTATATGTGTGGTCTTATGATGAAGGTATGCTTTATGTCATATATTATAAAGTTAAACCAGCTTATATGTGTGGGCTTATGATGAAGGTATGCTTTATGTCTTATATTATAAGGTTAAACCAGCTTTTAATTACATTGTTGAGTACAATACTGAATTCTATTGGATGAGAACAGAGCTGTCAAACCTATATTGAAGAGGTGCTAGCCGAATCTGATATAGGTTTTGCAGCTTTGTTCTAGTCCAATGCAATCATTATTGTATATTCAACAATGTATAATGATTGCTTAATTTCACATCAACAGTTTTAAATACGTTGATTGTAACTGTGACATAGATTGAAAGAAATTATTCTTCATTATTGTAGTATTGATGTATTAACACACAAAAAAAGAATTTGAATAGAAAGCAGTTAATTGAGATTTATAATATTATTTGAAATTTGTTTACACTTGGTTGTAACAAAATGGTTACTATTGTGCCAGCTGATTTGTCATGGTAATTGTACAAATGATTTACAGTGACATTTAAAGAGAAAGGCAGTGTTAAAATGAAAAATTATTGTCAGAAAAAGTATGCTATAGATAGTAAATTTGCAAATTTTCTGCGTTCAGATAATGATATTATACAGTTTATAACAGAATTTGATTCACTAAATCACTGACTTCTACAAACCAGTAGGCACAGCCATGTTTGCTGACAAACAGGTGTGTGTGACATCCTACAACCACAAACATGTATTTAGATTTACAATAAAAATTTCGAATTGCCACAAAAGATAAAGATATTTTAAAGTATTCTGACACCAGAAAAATAAATTAAGAATACGTAACATTTTGTCACAATATGAATAAAAATAAAGTAAACAATTAATAAAAAAAATAATGGCCTACTTGATTTTGTATTGCAGTTGAAGTGGTGTGCCTGGTGTGCTGTATATTGCTCTTTCATCAGTTTTGCCAACTCCAGGGCTTCAGAGGATACCAAACAAACATTGAGTAGTTTTATGTAAGTTATATGGTGGATTAATTTCGATTTTTGTACATTCTGTGCTACAAAAATTATCCTAGTACATGTATTGGATAAAAGTTTTAACTGCACACACCAAAAGCTCAAATTTGGAGTGTATAAAGCTATATACAGTTGTATCTGGTGCAAAAAGTTATTGTTTGAATTTAGAATAAGAATTTTTGAAAATGCTTGTTTAGAAGAGGTATTTACAGTATGTTAGTACATTGTCTTAAGACTTTGTTTATGTGATAGAATCCTGCTTGGTGGTGATGGTGTAAGTAGTTTACCCACCAGATCACGGCAGTGAGCCTTTTTGGATTCACCAGAGCACAGTTCAGCCCCCTCATCGTTCCTAGGCAGGTTGTCAAGCAGTTAATTAGTATTAGTGCCTTCACTTTGGCAAGGAGCTGATAACTTCTATACATGCCAGAGCAGAAGTACCGTATAATGTGAATAACCTGATCATTCACAATGGCAGTGAATTGAACCAAGGCCCAGTTCACAGTCCAACTATTATGCTAACCAGACAGTTATTATCTTGCTTTTGTTTAATGTTATAAAAAAAATTTAATTTTTTAAATTTCATTCAAATCGATATATGTGTAGATCCGGGATCTTTAAACAGATGGGGTCACACATTTTTGACAAAGGGTGATGCATATTCCAGAGAGTGTTTGGCATTTTACTGGTCAATATGCTTGAGTTACCGTAAATTAGAAATTATAAGTGTATGTTTCAAAGGTTATTTTGTGTGAAAATAATGTTTTGCATTAATTTGTCTTTTTTCAATTTGCAGGTTATCAATATCAGCAGTAGTGATGTCATACTTACAAAATCCTCAACCGATGACCCCGCCATGGCAATGACCTTGACCTTAGTTATCATCATTTTGAAACATCACATTAAAAATCATCATAACCAAGAATATAATCAGACAATAAAAGACAGAACAGCAAATTTAGTGTTAACAATGCTGTGGATCTAGTAACGGAAGAAGAAATTACACAATGTTGTTATGTACTTATTTCTTTAATATACATATTATATGTATAATATGAAGATATCCAGTCTTAAAAGATTGCTTATTAGGAAAAGAGATTAGATATTAGATTGCTTATCAAATGCTATTAAGAGAGGTGAACATAACTACTACCAAGTTAAAATCGTAAATTAATGTAGAGTTACTTCCCTTTGGTTACAAATTGACAATTTCCAGATTTCTTGTGTAAATTATGTTTTTATTTGATTTATTTTATTAAGAAATTCTCATCAAATGCTATTTGTGCTTGGGTTAAAAGAGAGATGAACATTACTACTACTAAGTTAAAATTGTAATTTTATGTAGAGTAACTTCCCTTTAGTTACAAGTTGACAATATTTCCAGATTTCTTGTGTAAATTATGTTTTTATTCAATTACAATATTTTGTCATTGAATCATTTTGGGTACAATTTGCACATTATTTTTTATGTTTTATCCATGTTTTATAGTACCATATTATTGTATGACTATGAGATGAATGTCTACCACAAAAATGTGTCTGCCTTGTGTTGTACAGTGTAGTAGTGTTTTCAGTGCAATGTGAAGCATCGGTCTTTTTTTTTACAAATTTTAGAATATTAAAATAAAGAGAAACAAATATTGAGTTTGTTTGTATCAGTTATTTCTGTATAATGTTTTAGAAAGTTAAACAATTAAAAATATAGAATAATATTAGTTTTACAATTCCTTTTATTCAACTTGATCAATGTTAATAGAAACAAAAACTTACAGGCTCCTAGGCCAGGTACTTTACTTCATTAGAATCTGGCCAGATACCTTACTGTTCGTAGCCTTCACTTAGGTCCAAAATCCTTGTAACATAAATTTTGAATTTCTTAGAAAGATCAGCTGGGATACTTAAAACAGAAACATATGCAATAGATAATTAAGAAATATACTCGGTACTCCGAAATGAATTGAAAATTATATTTTAAAAGTTGCAACACTTTTCAGTTTAGGTTATTTTTTCACAAAAAGAATAGTTATACTGGAGAATTTGAGTGAGAGAATGATCTGAAATTTTGCGCTGAAGTTATTGGTCTAGAACTACATTAAATGGAACATTTATTTCAAAAATTTATTCCCAGTTGTGTCATGTCAAAAAAAACCTCAGTGGAGTCCCTTTAAGCAATTTGTTCTTGAAACCCCAGGCAAAAGCAAAGGATACATGTAGTTACAAGGTCCATGCTGGCCAATACACAGGAAGTGCTGCTGGTGAAGTCTAAATCCTTGTTGTTCTCCTTGACATGTATTTGATGAGGGTTTTTTGTGAGATTTTTACCGTGTAATACATTATTCAAACACTAATTAAAACTTATGGCCGATTGGTTAATGTATCTGACATTGAGTCATTGACATATGTTACTCACGACTGAGTGAATATTGGCCTAGAAATCTGATAACAGAATGAGTGTGACCAGAAAATAAACGTTTCTTTCTTCAAATCTTAAATCGTAGCCACTGATATGTTCAAGAATTCAGCTAAAAAATTGATGCACATCTTGTGTCGATGCTGTATTACATTTAAATACAACATAAAGGAATGGTCTCCATATTAGTCTCCATCATCCACCGTCAGTACAATAAAAATCACCGTTTTGAAATTGTGTAATGGTTATAAGTATGAAGAGGACCAGCCCAAAATCTTAGCATTTGTTACTTGATTCTGAAATTTATATCAAGCATTCTACACGTATTTCATTCAATTAAATATAATTATTTCACGCCAATGTCATTCGCTTCAATAAATCACACCAACGGGAAAAATGATGCTGGATTAACCTATAGTTGGGAAGGGCGTCCGTGGCCGAGTGGTTAAGGTCGCTGACTTCAAATTACTTGCCAGTCACCGATGTGGGTTCGAATCCGAACACCTGAGGTCTTCCTCCACCAGTAAAGCTGGAACGTCGCCGAATGACCTATACGGTGTCTGTGTGATGTAAAAGCCAATCAAACAAACAAACAAAAACCTAGTTAGGTTTTAATACGTCATAATATTCTAACAGAATACAAGTCTTACCACTATACTGACATTGCAACAACAGCAACACATTTGACTTCAATGAAGAGAAACTATTCGTTAAAGGTGTCTATTTTTCAACTTATTTATTATTTTGCCCATAGTTAACGCTTCTCGGTCTTTTAAATCCATTTTGCATGGAATGGGTGGCAACAATTTTTATAGAATTAACTTTGATGGCTGCTTTGATTGAAGTGGCGCAATGCAAGCAAAAACGTAAAAAACGGCACATTTTCTGTTTGTTTTTTTATTTATTTCATTTTTATTATTTTTTTTTGCGACAACACGGCGCATTTTGCCACGAGAAAACGAAAACGTGAAATCACAGTTCAGTTCACAGTTTCTGTGATTCGTTTTCGATCGCAAATCAACGACTATGTATAACAAAATATAGATCTTGGTCTGTGTAGTATATATTCCGAAGGACAAGGAAATGAACTATTAAAGTCATTTTAATGCGTATGTTTTCATGGAAACATGTCTAAAAACGTGTTTGAAGTTTTAAGATATTTCAACTACAGCATTATATTCAAGAAAATCAGAAAACAATACTTTCTCTTATAGCGGTATTAGTTTAACAAGCATATCTTCTCTACTTAAAGTACCCAGTAACACAGGTACCTATAGAAAGATATTTCCAGTAAGAAAACTGAATGAGAAATAACCTTCGCGTGCATTTTACTTCCAACTCCTGGCTAGTACTGACATTACAATGCTATTTCCGTCAACTTCATTAGCAACAAGGCTTAGATTTTCTCAGAATTATCAATCATTTTTGTGGCACGGATATGGTTGGTGTCAAAATGACAAACGCATTTTAATGTTACAAGACCTACACATTTTTGATGAATTCCAGACAGGCATTTTCTGTAGGTGACATAAAAAATAAATTTTAATAATATATATATAAGTCATTAATAACATAACGCTCCAGTTCCTTGTTATTTTTGGCTCAAAAAAAGAAATTGTTACATTGGGGACGGCGGGAATTAACTCGGGTTCATTTTCTCCGTTATCTCGTGCATTCCTCCAGGACTGGAGTTGGTGTAAGAAATGACTGATGCATGGAGGAAGCATTATGCAAATATAACCAAAGATTGTTCCGAGTTTTTATACACTGACGCATGCATAACTTCTTGTTGAAATCTAATTATTTTATGAAATGCACTGTAAGTATAATTTCATGGTCTACGTAAAAAGAAAACAAAAGCGTGGCTCAAAGCATGCACATAGGCTCCCATTAGCACCTGTACAAATACATGAGAAAATTTTAATCTAAAATGCAATGGTATCATAAATGAAAACAATGAAAGGTTTTGGATGCGACGAACAAGTTTGGGCGTTTGCGGATCAAGTCTTTCTTCGGCATCATCGCGTCAGTGAAATAATTTCCAACGTTCATGATGCATTTTCCACGATTCGTTTCCTCTCTGATTTGTCTACCATTCCAGTTATTTCACGGTTCATAGACTAATCGACAATACCTGGCATTCGTAAGTGAGTGACGTCTAGCAAAGTCGAGCACGGATTTAAGAGGTTTTGTTCGAAAATACACCATTTCTTTACATGTCAAAAATGTTTTTATATAATATAGGTTGTCATGTAATAATGCCAATATCGTTCTTACACATCGTAAATTCATGCAGAAAAGAAAACATTTATGCTAGATGTGTTTTTCTTTCCAAATGACTTAGAATGCTTTTTTTATATCTTAATTTGATAAGCAGAGCTACTTTGTACTGCGACCGTTTCTGTTTAATATCAAACAGACATCGTACCATAGGCTAAAGTGTAGTGACCCTTCTATGAATGAATTAAAGACAGGCCTATCTAAAAATCTTAAATATAATCAAAAGCTGACTTCCATACACCGCTAAATGTCAGAATGTCAAAAAAATGATATCTATTTTATCTGCGTCTGTCACCGATAGATTTCAAATACATGTACAAAATATGATTTTATCTTCTTTTATTAATTGAATTTTGTTGTGAATGATAACATACAAGCAATTTTCGCGAGAACTTCTGCATTTAGTGAATCAGATAACCTTAATTTAAGCATGCTGCTTAACACACTGGCTTTTCATCGTCGGATACCCACGGTCGAAACCATTAACATAATATGCTATGTTAATCAACCGTGGGTATCCGACGATGTGTGCTTTTATTCTTATACTGGTTTCTTAGAATTATTCAGCTTCCTAACTGGCCAAACCCCTGATCCAATGATATTGAATAATGTGTAATTTTTTTTTCTAATGTGTACAGCATTTATCCCCTTTTCACGGATAAGATACGAAGTTTCCTTCTTTTATTCTTAAGAGGCGACAAAAAACACACCATCTGAGATATCAGATAATGGGTTCATTGATACAGAATAATACTGTAACGAGTCAATTAATGTCAGATCTCTTGACCAGTTTCTTTCAATGATATAGATAGAGATATAAGATAAGTCGTCGCCGTATCAGATGATCTACAAGGTAGCGCATGTTGCACGAGTTTACTGTGTTTGCACAGGCCTACTTCTTAGCTGTTACTTTGCCGTTGGCGGAACCTAATGCATCCGTAATTTACACTAATTATATCAGGAAAATTATCTTCCTGAAGTGGGAAATAAGTCAAAAGTGCATACATGTCAGTGTCAGGATTAATTATCGGTGTAATTGCAAGATAAATTGTACTAATTTTATTTGTTTACATTTTAACCCGTCGAAACACGTGTTTGTCTATTTTTAACCCACAGGTAAATTTGTAAAGCCTGATTGGCTACTTGTCAAACGGATTTGTCATGACATGAGCTTTTATTATGCGCAAGTGGGAAATAAACTTTGACAATATCGCGCAGGACATATTACATCAAGTGGAACGTTTGGCATAATGTTATCGGGTGGGAAAAAAGTTTTTTGGAAGTTTTA